GCTTCACACATAAGGTCGGATATTTTAAATTAATAACTTTTTCAAGATACTGGTATGTTATCAAGATTGATTTTTGTATTTCTTACCAGCTATAGATGCCTATATGCATTTACACGATCGACCAAAGCACAAACTTCATGTCTATGTAGTTATATATGGTGAAAATATGAGTGAATGAGTAAACTAGTTTAAAAATTAATTGTATAGGTCCTAATACTACATCAAATCGAGAAAATAGTTCTTTAACGTATTTATACATAAATATGTATTTGACTGATTATTCAGATTATTTAAAAGCAAACGCATAGATACGGATTATAAGCAATTGTTGGGTACACAATTAAGTTTATTGTAATTATATTAAAATTGTATGTACATTACTATTACATGATAATTTTTTCGTCGAACTTTTTTTTATTGCCAAACACCGAATGCCATCAAATAGTAGAATAATCTGATATCAAGACTATGCTAATTGTGTTAGTCGGCCCTTCCTCATCATCAACTGACCGGCAATTTATTTTCTTTATTCTTATCTCTTGAAACTTGGTGGCTCTCATTTTGTGAGACCCTGAGCACAATGGCTACTGGTTCTACTGTTTGATTAATCTTTTACTTAAAATCTGTAAGATATTTTAACCGTCATTTATTTGTTCAGTAAAATACTTAGTTTTTCCCATCATCAAGCCCGGATTAAGGGGAAGGGGGGCAGGAGGGGCCAAGTCCCCGGGGCCCACGTGTGTTAAGGGCCCATAGTTTTCTCGGTTTAAAATTACATTAAGTGATAATTTGTAATTTTTATAGTACCTACATTAGTACCTACAAAAATATTTTTATTTTTTTTTTTGTTTGAGCTAACAGTCGATGGGGCCCGTCGACCGTGTTTACCACCAATAGTATGGTAAGTGGGGAAACATAGCGTCATAGCTATGTTTGTGTTTGTTGAGAATAGGCATATATTTTTATATTACTGTATTTAAAAATAGAATTTGGAAAATTTGTTTATGTGACTGTCTCAGTCATGGATACTCATAATTTAGATATCTACCGACTAAACCTGTTTACATAAAAAAAACTTAATTTTATGTGTAAATATATATTTTAATAAAAATATTATTTTTTTTTAATATTTTTATCCTCATCAATCGTTATCATTAGAGAGCGGATTTTTAGGTTTTTACATATTTTTATTGGTTTTATGCAGCTTTATGAGAGTGAAAAATGTGGACAACTTATTCATCACAGAGTTCGTAGGAAAAAATTTATTTAGCATATTAAAGCATATTTTAGACTTAAGAGAATATTTAGCTTATTTTTCATATTTTAGAATATAATATTCGATTATTTTTCATAAAAAATCATATTATACATTATTAATTTATTGATTTGTGATATTTTCCAGCAACAATTTTGTCTAGGAAAAAAAATTATTTTATATAAGAATGATAAAAATTAAAAATCATCCAATTATCTACTTGTTTGTAATCAAATTGGTAATGATGATCATTCTGTTACTCTTAATTCATGATTTTACTTACGATCTTATAATAACGTGATAAGAATGATTTATAATAATAAATCTATTTTTACTTTTATATTGTTTATTATTTTAACTTTAATGTCTGACGACTTAGTTAAATTTGTAATATTCATTTTTATTTTTTTTAAATACTGAAAATTAACAAAAGTTTAAAATATTTACATAAACAATGGATAGAGTCGTATAATAAAACAAATGATACAGTATTTACGACTGATGGTGATATAGTTTAGTAGGTAACTAAGTATGAACTAATTTTGTTTTTATTAATTTTATTTGTTTTTTTTATTAATATTTCATTATATTTATAAAGGTAACTAAGTATGAACTGATTTATATTTTATAGTTAAATAACTTAGCTGTTACTAAAGACCATACAAGTTATGTATTGTTTTTATTAAACTATTTTGTTTTTATATAATATATTTCATTGTATTCATAAACCTATGAACTGTTTTGTATTTTTTATAGTTAAATATTTTATATGTTACCAAAAAGGAATGGTACATAAGTTATTTATTGTTTTAATTGAATTATTTTGGAAAAAAAACAAATCATATTATCTGCATATTCACAAGTTTAAGGAATATTTAGAGAATATTTTAGGGTTTTTTTAGAACATATTAGCATTATATTTTAAGCTTTTAAGAACCTAAAAATCTGCTCTTTAGTTATCATACTTAAATAAAAATGTTTAAATTTGTTTTATTGTATAATTTTATAATTTTAAAGAATTGTTTTTATTGACGGGGGCCCACAACCATGTATTGGCCCCTGAAGCTCTTGATCCGGGCTTGCCCATCATGTCAGTGTTTTATACCCATTTAAAGATAACATAACATGATATAGTAGAGAAGCAGAATCACATTGCGGTAATGTGTTCTAAGAAATTATTTGACTAAGGGGTTATAGAAATTCGTCTATTTACTAAAAATCCAATAAAACGGTTTAACGAAGTTAACGGCATGTGAGCTTAGACTTCTAAAATTTAAAACAACATTTTATTTAAGTATTTTTACTCGTAACTACTTAGTACTTGTGTAAGATTATTGTTACTTATTTTATTATTATTTAATTTTTATTTTACTGTACCTATTAGTATAACATGTGTTTGTTTCATAAAAAATAAAAATAAATAATTAAATTCTATAACTATAATCTTTTTTTTTAAATTATTAACTATTTATCATAAACAGAGCGTTGTTCGTTAGTGGGTAAGTCGTTTTTTCTTCGTTTTTCTTCTGAATCCAATATAACTTAACTTAAGCAACGTATAAACTTCAATGATAATCAAATTGCTCGCTCAAATGTTTTTTCTTATGTTATAAATTTGATAATTTGAGATATTCACTTGCGGTCATTGAAATAAGAATTATATGTGAATAAATACTAAGTATAATTTCCTTAAAGTATGTTAAATTGAGATTGATTACGAATTTTGAAAAGCTGTGTCACATAGTTAGAAGCAATAAACACCTATGTGCATTGCTACGCTGACTGTGATAAAATGGATTTCTGTAGCTTTACATTTTTTTTTAAAAGTCATTATTAAATTGAATTGTTGTACTGCGTCAATTGTAACATAAAGTTTAAAAATATGTAATTAAAAATTAAAAATATTATAAACATTTATCATTGAGGATACCTATATATTAATAACTTTCCGTCATTGATAGTAGTAGATCTATATGGTTATTTTATGAAAAAAAAAACAAAATAATTATTCAAAATATTGTTTATCAATACATTGGTGGAAAAAAGAGCGGCACAAAATAAATCAAAAATAAGCACAGTAAAATTAAAGAAAAATAAACCATGTGTACCAAATATAATTCGTCTTGAACAAGTTGCTCACCAACCACAAAGAGATACAAGAAGAATATGTGCCAGATGTAGCACTAAAAAGAACGAGGTTCGTACAAAATGGATGTGCTGTATATGTAATGTTCCGTTGTGTTTGGTAAAAAATAAAAACTGCTTTGCACTTTACTATAATACACAAGAAGGGTAAGATTTTTAGTAAAACAGTAAGCACATATTATAATAAACAGTTTCAATAATTTTTTAATTTTTACTATTCCATATTTTATGCAAACAATTCATAGACCACAATAGTACTGTAAAATAAAAACATTTAACGGAAAAAAATTGTTTTTATTGTGTTTAACATACAGTTATTTTCTAATTAAACTACTTTTTTAAATTTTTCTTATAATTTTTTTTTTATAAATCTAATATATAAAACATAATACGAGTATAATATGTGTATAATTAAACATCTAATCAATTAATAAAAGTTAATCATAAAATGTAATATTATTTTCATTTTATTGATATCCCATAAAATCTATACCACATACTACATGGGGGGACATACGACATCCCACCTACAATAACTTTTTTTTTTTAAATATCGAATTTTTTTGTACACCAACATCGTATTATTTACCAAAATAATATTTGATTTTTATACTCAAATAAATAAATTTCTAATAACCTAGCGCGCAAGATTTGATTACAGACAAACAGACGTGAAAGCGAACTTAAGAAAAGTGTGTAAAAAAGCGGTGTTCGTGTGGTACGAGTAAAAAAAATATTCAGACCCCTGTACCGCAAAGAGTTTTAACTAGTAAAATTTTTAACTGCTACAAATTCCAATAACAAAGATAAAATAAATATAAAAAAATTCATGTTATAAAGAAATTAATTTGTTTGAATAATAACAGTCTGTAGCACGGCGTTCTAGATAGATTATTTAGCTGCATCTCTGTATTGAAAATTTCTAAGTATCCTATTAGGAATTATAATATTATAATTCTTTCATTATTTATTAGAGAAAAAAGTTTAGAATCCTATAATCTGAACGTAATAAACTCTATTTTTAACTCATTCGGTTATGTATTTCTAGATAATTTTTTTCGAAATTTGTTTAATGCGTATTCTAAGTATTAATAAGTACTTTTCATAACTATGGATTAGAACAGGATTTGTTAACTTAAATACTTTTATAACATTTGCAAAATACATCACGTGTATCTAGAATGTTAATCACTATTTTAAGAAAACTTAACTACTAATATTAAAGATATTCAAAATAAGAGACAATAAAACTACAATGAGTACACAAACTACGTATACTAACAAAACAGTTTGCGTATACAAATATAAAACACTCAAATTATTGCATAATTTATTTATTTTCTGTATTTAAAATAAGAGAAAAAGTAGCATTCTAAAAATAAAAATCAATTGTTTCCATATAAATAAATTAAAATGTAATTAAGTTTAATCTAAAAAACAATCAATAAGAATGAACTTTTTAATAGTGTTATTTAAAAGTAATAATCTATTTGAATAATTATCGATTTTAATTACAATAAGAATAAATTATTTTTATTTAATTACCATACTATTGGGTTTAGATATATTATCACTTGCCTAAAAACCATATCTGTTATACAGTTCACGAATGAATTGAATATGGTATTTAACATCTGTAAAAACTGCTATTGAATTATTTGTATTCGGATCCTTGACACTTACTACTCCAGTTAAATAATACAAATTAGAATGTAAAAACGATAAACCTGCACCGCTGTCACCTTCACGAACCCCCTGTCCTGAAATTAAAGATAAAATAAAATTAATCGTATGATCATTCTTGAAAGAAAGATATAATACAAATATATATGACAGATAATTATCGGTTTGACGTAAATTGTATTTTATGATAGTAAAAATATTAAATATAATTAAACAACTTCTTTGCTTTGAGTAAATAGTTATTGACTTTAAATAGAAAAAATTACTATTTTTAATGGAGTTCATTAATAATTTAGAATTACAGTCCTAAACTTACACAATGAAAGACTAATAACCTAACTTGCTAGATTATTCAAGATATATTTAGATAACTAGATACTAAACGATAAAGTTTAATAAGTTATAGCATTGATAAAAAATATTTAGTAATATCAAATAAGTTAATAATGTATATAATTGAATTGTATTTGTTGAAAAAAAAATTGAAAAAAATGATTTCAAATATTAATAATTAAATATTTTATTACCTAATGCAGACCCGGCACAGAACTTATCAATTGTCACAAACGTTTGAAATCCATTTGTATACATGTTTCGACAAGAATCATGATCGATGTACGGTAAAGTTGCTTCTAATAAAGTGGGACTTGATATGTCTTTCTCCGTTTTTCCCCAACCAACAATCTGTAAAAGTATATAAAATAATTTTATAATGTATAATACCATTCTTTAATGTTATTATGTAAATATTGGTAAAAATTAATAATCTATATAATTTATAAATTAATAAAATAATTAAAGTTCTATAATTTTAGAAATCAAACAAACAAAAAATTAAAATAATTTTTAATGATTTTAGAAATTAAATCATAATAATTTTTTTTTAGTATTCTTCTATTTGTTATAAGAACATTTTAAACTTTAGCAGAGTTTCTAACAGTGTTTTCCTACACATACAATAAAGAATAATGTGTAGTAATTTCGATGTTTTATTATTAAACAAACAAACCTTTCCTTGAGCTCCATTTGGTATATTGTAAATACTTCTCCAATCAACGCAGACTGGTGCAACACCACTACTAATAATAATTCTGTTTGATAACACAATAACAGCTATATCTTCACCATGAAACCCATCAGGTCCATAATAACCATCTTTCAGATAAATAGTTTCCACCTATAAAATTGTTTGATTTATAATATACCTATACTAAATAATGACTATTATGATTAATTTCTAAAATTCTACTTGTACACTAATTTCATACATCCATAAATTGAGTGAAGTCATTATCAACAACCGTGTAATCTCTATTATATTTTCCAACACCAATTTTATATATACCATCATTATTTGATATTCGTTTAGACAACAAATCTTTTTGCCAAAAACAATGAGCAGCTAAAAATGTTATTTAAATAATTATTATACTTCTTAGATCTTAAGTACTTTAGATAGTTTTTACCAGAAACAACTAAATTTGGAGTAATAATTGATCCTCCGCAAATCAGGTCATACTTGGAGTTTTCTTTATTTAATTGATAAATTGCAACATTCCAAGGAGCTGTTCCAACATGTGCAATTTTACCATTATCAATCAATGGTTTACTATTAATGTATACTCTACCACAATCTAAAATAATATTTGAATACTTTTTAGATGATTATAACTAATAACTAATTAGTAATATACATATATAAAACATAATTTTGAAGGTTTAAGATATTTTTTGCGAATTTCATATAATCGTACATTACAAAAATTATAAAAAATAACAGTTTTTCATTTTATAGTCGAATTCACTGTGAAATATTAATAAAATATAAAACCAATATGCCAAATATTCAAAAATGTATCATTTACAATTCACATACGTTGCATGTAGATCTGAGAGAATAAACAAATATTGTGCTCGTATCTTTTTAAAAATGTTTATCAACTATTATACTTTTACAAATAATTATAATTTGTTTGTCTAAAATTTTAATTTTTAAAATACATAGAAACAAAACCATTTTAATACAAGAATCGTTTAGTAAATTAACCAAATATAAATAAATAAGAGACGTAAAATAAAAATAAAAATTACGTGGAGTGCATTTATATAGTTGATTACTCCACATTCCATTTGACTGACAAAGTAATTCAATTGGAGTCTCATCTTGTCCGTTTGGTATTTTATGTGTTGGCTTACATGATGGCATTGCTCTTGTACCAAATATTGATAGATTTGAACAATTAGCATAGTTACCATTTAAAGTACAATTAATATTTAAACTATCTGATATTAGAGGCGGACACATTTCTATAAACATAAACAAATTATAGCTAAATATAACCATTCATCGGAAATACAAAATTTAAATAAGTAATAATTACATTAAAAAAAAAAAAAATACAATACATATATCTTACTGAAACATAATTTCTCAGAATTCGATATCCATTTTCCATTTTCCTGACAAAGCCTAAAACTTTTAGGATAAGCTTTATAATATCCTACTTCACAGTTCTCGATAACAGTGCGATATTGATTAATCAATGTCCCGTGAGGTAAAATTTCATTTGAACCTTCGTAAGAATATAAAACTCCTTCGATCGTCGGTAAAGCGCATAAATTCCTTAAATTATAAAATATCAAAAATAATAATAATGAGGATTAATTGGTTGTTATACAATTCATGCTCAATAATCTTTTGCTTATAACTATAAATAGAGATACTTATCATACATATAGGCTATAGACTTATAATATCTAAAGCTAAAGATTATATATTTTATCAAATACAATAATAAAAAATTAAATGGTAAAATTAAGTTTAAAAGGGCCATAACTAACTAATAAATTTAATTTTTAGAAAAATACATTTTTTTTTTTTGTATTTGTAAAATCATCAAATACACTATAAATAATGCATATGTTATTCATACGGCAAAAAGGATATAATAAATACTTTGTATTAGACTGCGTAGTTGGTCGAATTGTATTAATCACAGGTTTTAGTGTTGTTGGTCTAGGGGTTAGATAGAGATCACCACATTCTTCTTCATCAGATCCATCAGCACACTGTTTTACGTTATCACATTTACTTTCTTTACTGACACAAGCCCCATATTTACATCGAAATGTATACTTTGGACACCTTTAATTTAAAGTATTTAGTAAAATGCAATGGTTATTTTTTTTAAACTAACTCACTGGACTCTTTTACATAAAGCTAAAGTTTCATCAGACCCATCATTACAATCTCGAGTTCCATCGCAGATTGATGTTCCATCAATGCATTGGCCAGATTTACATTGAAACTGTTCTTCACTTTAAAACAAAAAAAAAAAAACAAATGTAAATATGTGTAAGATTTTATAAATCAATAATTATTAATAAAAAATATGAAATATAATCTATATAATTATTTATTAATTAGTTATTACACAAATAATAAGATTATAATATCATTACAAATTTATACATTTTACCTAAAATAAAAAATTGTTAAAATTTTACAACAAATTAGTTATACTGCTAAAGGTATGTGAATTATTATGTTTACTAATCAATATTCAGTGATATGATTAATGGTTTTAATTTGATGAAATAAATGGTTTCTAAATATAAATATGTTTAAAAACCACATACAGACATTTAGATGAACCAATGGAATATTGAGTACTGTTTTTAGAGCTTTGTCTGCATTCTGGTAAATTTTCGTCCGATCCATCAACACAGTCATTTTTACCATTGCATTTTGCATTTTTGTCCACACAAGCTCCATATTTACATCGATATGCATAACTTCGGCATCTATATTATACAAAAAGTCAATAGATACATAATATTAAGTACAATTATTACTATATTTTGTAGCTGTAAGTTATACACATATTTATTTCCTACGTTTGTCTAGAACACAAATCATTGGTCTCGTCTGAACCGTCTGAACAATCCGCATGACCATCACAAACAGCCGAAAACTCGATGCATAATCCATTTGTACAATTAAATGTGTCCTCGGGATTTCTGTAATTATAAATTTAAATATGCAACAAACAATGATTAGAATTGATAATTAATTAAATAAATAATCTTAAAAAATAAATCATATTCTTTTAGATTGTCAATATGGCGATATAGGTACAAAACTTAGATAGTAGCCTAATCTGACATAAATACAATATTTATAATTTACATTAAAATGTGATTATAGGAAATAATGATTATTATTATTTTTCGAAAGAAATAATAATTTATAGTCGCATTATTACAATTCCTTTTTCCTAAAATGTATAGTGAAATATATTATATAAAAAATATTAATATCAAAAAACACGAAAAACTAATAACTGGCCATTACTATATGTGTAATCATAGAATAAGTTAAGTTATTGTTAGTAAGTCTTGTAGCTTATATAGATTATATTAGTAAACGCTATTAGTGATAAAAAAGATAAATTGTAACAATATTTATAAAGGTAAATCAATAATTTTTAAATATCAAAAATAAAGGAAATTATACAATAAAAGTTAGGTAAACGACAAAAATTATAATATTTCCTTTATAAAGTATTCATCAATTTAAATATAGATAAAAATCTAGTAAATAAAGATTAAATAAATCTAATTTATCGCCCAATAAAAAAAAAAGATAAGGGTAAAACTCTTAGACGTTTTAGCTTAACTAAATTGTTGTTTATATCAGTAAGATTTCAAAATAAATATAGGTTTCTGTTTTATATTATTCAATAAAAATAAATATTTATTTTTTATTTTCACTAAGTTAGTAACCTATCATAGCTTGCAGTTTTGTATAAATTTAATAATAACTAGTGGTATAAAAAAGCAAAATTCTTAGAGGTCTTCAAACCCCGTTTTTTATGTTTTATATACGAGTATATTAATAGATAAATATAGCTTAAATTTAAAAGTAAAGTAAAATACTATAGAGTATAAGAAAATTTCATGAGTTTTGTATCAAGTTTGTATGTAATGTATGAATGAATAATAATTTACAGATGATATCTATTAAATAACTTTTGTATTATTTTATGTTGGGCTCGTATAGGATTTAAGGGTCTACGCCTTACCACAAGTTACCCTATTTTTAATACTTATTGTTAAATAATAGTAATTAATATTATAGTTACCAACACTGTGCAAGATGGTACAGTTTGTCGTTTTACAAGTTTTCTATCACAAAAAACGCCTAGAAACGATAGAAAGAATCATCATTAGTTGGCATCATTTTTTACCATATATTTTAATTATTACATTTACATTTTTTAAATAATAAATTTTTCATTGCAAATATTATTTTAGTTCTTGCTATTATATCTATAAATATATCATATGATATAAATTGTGTGTATAATCTACGTACTACTTAAATTAAAAATAATATGCTGTTTTTAATAAGAATCTAAGAACTATGTGTCCACGTGAATAAACGTGATATATAGACAAAAATTTGGCTTAATATTTTTATGTACTTTAATGCATATATAACAGTTAATTTTTGAAAATATTTATAGACATATTATATTTTTAAAATACTAAAAATTTAATAAAATTATACATAAAAAAAATCAATAAATAATTTTTATAGTCAAATACAAAAATAAATAATTAATTTTTAATATTTACTTTTGAATTATACAAATAACATAATCATTCGTTTACAGTTTAATAATAATAGATAAATTGGACTACATAGTAATTATAACTCATAACCGATCAAAATTTGTAACTCATCTTATTTAATTCAAAAATGTGACATAAACATTGAATTTTTTAGTAATACTTAGTGATAATTTCAATTATTAATGAATTATGCATCTGCTGCGATGCCATTGCTACAACGAAAAAAAAGACCAGTTGTCAATTAAAATTCATAAAATGTTGATTGGGGTCAAAACTAAATTGTCCACATACGACTTGATTCGTAGCTACTAATAATATATTATTAATTTAATAAAAAATATGTTATACATATAACATGAAACATTATTTTTGTTTAGTCTCAAAAACGTATTCAAATTCATCTAAAATTAAAAACAAAATTTTATTGAAAGTTTATTTAACATAATTTATTAATATATTATCAATTATTAAATAATAATACCAGTACAATTAAAATCAATACTATTTTACCTATTTAGCATAGAGTATCAGTCATCAGAATATTATTTTTATAAGCTTTCAAAATTGACAAAATTTTTATTGCCACTAAATTTTGCTTTATTAGTAGAATATATTTATTCTCGAAAAATTATATTTTTAAATGAATATTTAAAAACAATACAAGTCTACAATATAGATTGATAAATGTATTACCTATATTTTTTTTCCATATAACCGACTATTTTATATAATATGTTATATATTATTATTAAATAAATATGTTTCTCCATTATTTATTACTATATTGTAAACATTATTAAAATATATATCACATACCAAAAATTAAACATGAATATATTAACCAGGAATACTTCACCTTCATGACGGATTAATATTGAAGTGAAAATGTATAATAATATATTAAATTAATTAAATGAACGCCACTAGACACTGAATAAAATTGTACAATAAATTAACAAGCATAAAGCTAGGTTACTATACAATTATGTATAGTAAGCACTAAAAAATATAAATTAATTTTGAACTTAATCTCAAAAATACGACATTTTTAAAACAATCAATAATATTGAATGCAACATAATATTAATGATTACAATATCACAATTACAACTACACAACACATAATGTTGGGTTTACTAAATTAGTATTGCAGAATGCTGGTTATATTATGATTGTTGATATTACCATGTACCAGCTATACCTACAGCTATGTTCATATGATCGACCAAAGGACACACTACGTAGATAAGTAATAAAAATTAAATGAGTAATCAAACTTGTTTTAAAATTTATTGTACAGCACTTCTACTATGTCTAGCAACTAATGATATTTTGACGTAGGTAATACTGTAATAGATATACATAAATACATGTAAAACTGGTTATTCTAATTATGTAGATTTGCATATATATATATATATAGTCATACAGAAACATTAAAAATGATTTATGAAGCAATATTTGCGATAATATCATGTTGTTTGTTGTAGTTATTTATTTTACTATTAGTAAGCAGATTGATTCAAATATATAATTTCGTTAGAATTTAAACTTCAAGTATTAAAAAAAAGTCATGATATTTTAATATTTTTTTCCAACATAAACTATTTACTTAAGAATAATACCGTATTAAATTGTTAACCTATACAGAGCTAAGAACAAACTATGAGGGATCAATAAAATTTTGCCCCAGTGAATAATTTTTTATCTTTAAAAAAAAAAGTTAGAGTATCGCTCTATATTAGGTTTTGGGTGAAACTCGCTTTTGAGTAAATCACTATCGTGGATTTTTTTAATTTTAATTCAATAGTAACATATTATATTCGATTAAGTCTAGCAATACCACGGTCAAGGGGATGGACATGGATAGTCCAGCCGTTCCATATTGACCACTGTGATTTGGCCACCGGAAGCGTCCGAAATAATTAACGTCCCCAGAATAAGGAAAGCGGAGAGCTATGCATGCAAAGTAATCGTGAATATTGATTTATACGAAAACTGACAGCAACGTATAATCAAGCAGTTCCCGATGACGGAAGGTCCTTTGTATCGGAGTGGTCGGTATCCATACTAACAATGCAAACGTTGACAGTTTCAACGACGGTGTTTCCGTTCGTCGTTTGTTCGCGTACATGGATAACATCGGTAACGGCAGGTAAATTCAGCACCGCGAGTAACCAGTCAAGTGTTAATCACGTCCTCTTATGTCTCCGATACCTATCCTAAAGCGGTTAATGCGTTAACCACGTTGCTGGTGGTTCGTCGAATTGTTACATTCTTATTGTTGATTACTGAGAGAGTTGGCCGACGAGCTATGATTTACTACAAATTTTACAATTTTTTATACAATTTTGCAACAAACAGTAATGCTGGTCGGGATTTAAGCTCAGGAGTCGTGTCCAGTCAAGGCGCGGTTTCCAGTTCTGAAGTGAATTTTAATTCGTAGGATTTGTGGTTTTCATTTTAGCCGGTGATGCCATAACTGGCAGAATTGAAAATTGAAATCAGAATTTCGTTATGATATTATTATGTGTAAGGAACACGAATACAAAAATAATGTAGATATTTTGAATATCGAAGGTTATTTGTGTTAAGGTTACACTTAAAATTACAAATTGATGTTGTCGTAAACAGGTTTTGCATAAACATTTCCGTTTTTTTCTTAATTATTTGTTTGTTCTTCCCGATGATAATATTGAAAAATACTGAAAGTTTTTAATTTTTACGCGTTTAAAGTACAAACTATATTTTACAAGAAATCTCCATCAAAATGAAAACAATAATTTTTTCGACTACTTATCGTGTATACAAACAAAAAACAATTATTGTAAAATCATTCATTGCTTACATTAAAAATATAAAAAAACAAACAATATTTTATACTTCTATACATTTATGATTATTATTTATACAAAACCTAGAAGACAAAAATCGGTTCAACCTATTTATTAATCGAATACATAACATTATAATATTGTATGTGTTAACGTCAATAATGTACTTCATAAAAAATCAAGGTTAAGTTAATACAGAGCTTGCGCTAATGTGCAGTACAAACACAAAATGTGCAGTTCTAAAATAAAATGTTTAGTTATAAAACGCTAATTGTGCAGTACCTAGTGCTACTTATTCTAGCATTGTAAAAAAAAAAATAGCTAATATACCATATAATACTAGGTATACCAAAACAATTTGTATTAAAATTATAATTCATAATAATCAAATATTATATGATCATGATATTATGATACAACCATGAATCAACGTGGATTGCAATATGTTTTCTATGATGTAGAATGTAGATTGATCCATAATAATGGCTATAATAATAAAATGTGTATACAAGCTAAGTTCAGGTACCTATTTGTGCAATTCTAAAATTTTCTTAGCGCCTAGCACAAACACTGAGTTATAACAAATTTTTTTGTAGTTGGAAATTTATAAAAAAAATTGTTGTCATATTTGTGATTTAAAAATTGAATTCCATTAAAATCCATGAGGTTTTCAACCTGAGTATAGAAACTTAACCGGAAAATCAAATCAATTTTTCATAAGCATTTTCAACTTAACAGTGGTTCTGATAGAAAATTGTATCTAGACTCTAGAGAGTACTTCGGGTTCGGATAAAATAAATGATACAAGATTTCTCATAAGTTTTTCCACCTATAACGAAGACAAAAAATTTCACCAGAGAGAGTCACATTCATTTTTTCTACGACCCTCTGAAATTCAATACTTTACGGCATTGCATGGATATTCTGCCCTATATGATGATGACCTATACATTTCTCTTCAAACGATGATTTTGTTAGCATTAGGTACATAAACTCGCTCGTCGAATTGCTGACTATTCCTCAGTAAGTATAGTGCTCGTACACGCAAAAACTCGGCATATTATCTTACGATATTTATTTGCGTCTTGATATTATTTAATTTAAAATCATTAAACCAGTAGACGTTCGCAAAATATTGCGTACGGGTGCGCGGTTTAATCGGTCGAAAGCCACGAGGATATACGCGACATTCGGAAGTACAAAAAATATAAATATACAGCAGTATACATACGGGAAACATAACGGTGCACGTCCGGTCGACAATAGTGATCAGTCGGTACGCTGCGACGGGCAATGCAACACGTGCAGACCGTCCACGTCAATGGCATTGCGCCAATGGTATTTCGCACTATACGAGTGACATTATTATCGTCTGTCGCGGTCTTCGGTGCGCCGTTACGGTCACCGGCGTTTTGGTGTTTGCGGCTCACTGCGGGCCGTCGCGAATCGACGTAGCCGGCCACCCCGCGCCGACTGGGGCCTCGACAGGGCCACGCAAACGGCCTCCGGCCAACACGAATAGGTCCGCGTGAACGTGCACGTCCTCGCTGTGGCCCAAAACCGAACGGCCGTCGTTGACAGACCGCTGGATGTGCGCTGTGAATAACGCAATGCGCCGCCGCGGTATCAGACGAGGCTACAATATTATAAATAGTTATCGTACAAAACTGGCTTGTAGCACAGGCGGCGACTTGCGGCTCACGTCTTGTTTACAAAATCAAAAATTCACTCTATATTATTGTAAATTTTAGTTTTTTAGGTATTAGTTTATAATAAATTATCGAATTACCTAGTATATAAAATGTGTTTATACACATTTTGGCTTTTGGTATCGTTGTATTTATCTTTATTTACGGGTGTGTCTTATGTGCAAATAATCTATTTCTATATTATGAAGTATACGTAGGCACACGATTCATCATGAATTTTTTTCACTTTCATACGAAACAACTAGGTACTAGCTAAGATATTATCATGATATGCGCAATTAAAAACACTCTATTGTACCTATATGTATAATACGATTCATAATATAATATGTATAAATAATACATACATAGTTTTAAAAAAAATTGTGTATAGGTACCTGCGATCAGAGTCCTGGCAAACGACGAAACACCCCGAACCAATAAAATTTGTCCACATACGTTATTCAATTTTCTCACGGGAAAAATAGAATACAGCACTACGTTTTGAATACATTTGTAGTACCCTGAAATGTATAGAAAAATATCATACAATATTCATTAATATTGTTATATTCATAAATCATAACATTTACAGACTGTGCTAACATAATCATGTAGGCAAGTACCTACTTAGTAATTAGTACATTAATTTTAGTACTAACAAATTTTTGGTATATCATATCATTTATTACAATAGTCATAAAAAAAAAATCAGCACGGGTTCAAAATTCAAATCACATGGATAAGTATCCATTTTTTTTGGTTCTTAAAATTAACGGGCATGACCGTTTTTGACCAAAAACGTATTCTTCTCTTTTCAACCAAATTAAAAAAAACACCGATCCTCTTTTCGACCAAAACAAAATTTTATATAATATATGTAAAAAATAAAATAATTGAAATATAATTTTTGTAAAATTAGGACAATTATATAATTATTATATAATTTTGAAAATTATTAAAAGTATAAAATGCATAAAATATTATAAAATAAAATGTAGAGAATTATTTAAAATATAAGAAAATCTATATATTAACATCATTTTTATGTTAATATGTCAACGTCATCTGCCTATTTCCCCGTACATGTCAAGCGCTTCACAAATTCATGTCATATCCGTCAGGTATTTATTATAATTAATCCATTTTGTCCAACTATGGTATAGAAATATGAATTTAAATAACCTACACGGTTACAACATAAACCATACAGTATTTTATTGGTAGGTGTATACACTATATTTTAATAACGATTAAAAAACATTTTTTTCATTTTAAAGATCTTGCCAAGATAATTAATATTATAATAGATGGAGAGCATTTATAGCATTTCAAAAAGTTATAAACCCTTTATGGGATAGGTATAAGTAGTACTTTTGCAGTATGGGCATATCAAGTATTATTATGTAAAATAGATTTTGACCTTTAAATTGGGCTCAAACAAAGTAACATTGCCGTCGAAGAGTATATCATCTCTGTACATCGGCCAACTGTCGATAAAACTGTTTTTGAACATGTTCGTCACATTTTGGACGTCCAAAATCCAGTTTTTATACTCTTTGTACAACCAATTTATGCTGTAGGTGACTTAACTGGATTCTTGTGCATGGGAAATCATCGGAAAGTTCGTTGAAAACCGCCCCACCCAAAATCTGCAATAATCAATTTATTATAAATAATAATAGGTATTGTTAATTATAATAAATATTGATCATAGATTTGATACATTCTCAAATAACTGTCATCACTCATCAGTCATCTCATACAATAATGTATACAATATATTATGAATAAGTGCCTAAAGAGTCTATTATATATGTAGGTATCGTATATATTATAATTGCGACGACCGCAGCCATTACTAAACAATTTAGATACATATTGTATAATATGCATCACGGTGTACTATATAAGTACTAAAATTGTAAATGTATTCCTAAAAAAATTACTGAAATAAATGATTTTTAAAATGTATATATTTTATAATATAACATACATTATTATTAGTATATACTCGTAATATATATTATAGTAGGTACCTACATTGAATATAGATCACCTTTTGATACAATACCACGCTATATACATATAATATTTGGTGAACAGTGTCTGTTTTTCTTTAAACTATACAAGTAAATATTAAAAAAAAAAAAAATTAACTGTAAAAACATATTTTCCAATCGGATATAAATAAAATATTACCAGTTTCTTACAGGTATTTTTACATATATTTTAATTTATAATACATTAATACTTATAAATATATAATATATATACTGCTGTAGACATTTCATAAACGATGTGATGTATACGTATTAGTATTACGAGCTATAATGGCTAAAATATATTACTTATATTAATACTAACATGGGTTAATAAAGTCTCACTGTTGCTTTCCGATCGTGGTTTTAATGGTTGGAGGTTGATGCTTTTTGAGGAATTTCTCAACATTCCAGGCCGCTTTCATGGTATTTGATTTGGAAGGATTTGACAAACTAACTAATAATAATTTTGTTTTCGATTGCATCAAGTTTTAACGGCACTGGTGTGGTAACGAACAACCAAAACACCAGTGTAAAGCACATCAAAACTACATTAAAAGGTAAGTATAATATGCAGTGTATACAATGCATATTAAACTTGTATCGCCTACTTGGATTAATATATCAAACGATATTATTCACAAAACATTATATTCCACTTAATTAAATACTATGTATATATGTGTTTGACTAATATAAATATGATTATAGCTATATCACGAACCTATTTATACTTACCCAAATAAATATGTAATTCCGATTTCAAGTTAGTAAATAGTAGTTGGTATTCGATCATAGGTGGCATTACCATCATGTCAGCAATACTTCCTAGATGAAGACATAAATACGCTGTGCACTGATTTACAATTAAAAGTGTGAATAATAAAACGAAAAACGCGATCTTAATCATAATAATACCTATTTCAATACCTTTGTGTATAAAATGTATATATAAACATAGGTATACAATATTATATTTCTAATATTTGTCACATTTAATAATGTATATTTTCTTGAAAATTTGGACTTGGTTATTGTCATCATGTTTGGCATTTTATTTTAATATGTTAAATGTTTTTATTATTGATAGTATTTTTATTGAAATTTAAACTTATATCTTTTCAGGAAATTAAATTGTAATTTATTTATCACAGTTAACTTCGGTATTTACATCTATAAATTAATTACATAGGCACTTAGTTATTAAATATCACTGTAATAACTAAATTATCAAAATCCTTTTATTTCTTTTATTAAACAAAGCAATCCTTAAAAATATAAAATATAAATTCATAAGTATAAAACTGTAGAATAGGATTTTCCATATTTTTTTAAAATAAATACAAGTTTATTTAGGAGTTGGATTTTCTAGAGCAGGTTCAGAAGTATTAACTACCTTATGTGTTACTTCACTATTTAAACTGAAATCAGTGATTTATTAATGGGTAACTCAATGAATTTATTAAATGTTTAGTGATTGTTTATACAATCCGGTATTATAGATAACTCAAGGGATGGCCATTTCATATTAAAAGTAAAGTAAAAGTATGTAATAGCATACTTTATTTTTACTTTTCTTAAAATACATGGACAATTTTCTATGCACATAGATCACTAAAACAGATGATTATAATAGATCATATGAATATTTAGATGTCAACCAAGTTATTACTATTTATATTTTATAACCATTAACAATATAAAATATTAGACTATTGTCCTCATAGACATAACATATTAAATAAATGTCTACAATTGTACTACAAAAAATTAATTACAGTGAATCCAACAATAGATGTTTAAATATAATATATTAATATCATTAAACTAAAATTTTAATGGCACGAGGAATAGAAAAATTATTTGAGAAATTTCATAAAAAATATGCATTACGAAAAATGTATTTATCAAAATATATACCAAATTAAATAGTTTATAAAATATTGTAAGCTTTACACTTATAATAAGTCTTATAATATTTCAAATTAAAGTTAAATATATGAAAAATTAATGTTATACATTAATAATTTCTGAAATCACCAATTATTAAATCCATGAAAATCATAACCAACGACTTTCTTTTTTTTGTTAGGCAATTCTTCATTTTCAATCCTAAAAATAGAAACATTTAATAAAATAAAAAATAAGAATCACATAATTGAAAAAAAAAGATCTACTTTGGATCAAATGATTGTTTCAGCTATACATACATAAAATGAAAATAAAAAACATATTGGCATAATTATTAATTCTAATGTAAAAGTTCTAAAAAGGAAGTCAATAAATGTTTTTTTTTTTCAAACTAAAGTGCAACATAGAAAAAATACACATATAAAAATTATTTTTCATGAATGTGTTGTTTATATTGTGCACATGGGCCAGTGAGTAAAAAATAATGGATGACTTCCTCTTAAACTCATTTTAAAATAAAATAAATTACTTGTTTTTTTGTAAAGCTGAAGGATTGATATATTTCCCTACTCCAGATTTAAATGTTTTTAGTTTAACTCCTGGAATTGCTATACTTGATATTTTATTTTCTTCTGTTCGTACAGTTGAGGCCATACTAGTTCCGGGTGTATTTATTAACGCCTCTTGCCTTTCTTCTGCTATCTAGATAGAAAACAATTCAGAAACAATAATACAATAATTAACACTGACACTAATATTAACACAATTATAGTAAACTTAATAAGAATTTATACCTTATCATCAACTTCTTGAAATGGATCAACAAATACATGAGTTTGCAATATAACAATATCAGTAATTGGTCGATCTTTATTATCCACTTCGATTTCTTCAATAGCATTAAGTGTTTCAAAACCTCCTACTATACGCCCAAACACTGTATGTTTGTTGTCCAAATGTTTACATGAGCGGTATGTAATAAAACTATAAAGATTTAACACATATATTGTTGATTATATATTTATATATTAATAAGCAATATTTATAAGAATACCAAAAATAAAAATATTTTAATTTATGTAGAATACTAACAATTGTGATTTATTTGTATCAGGACCAGAATTAGCCATAGATAATATACCTCGTCCTGAGTGATTTAAATTTTGTTTAAATTCATCTTCAAAAGGCTGTCCCCAGTATGATTCACCACCTTTACCAGTACCTGTTGGATCACCACCCTGAACCATAAAATTACGAATAGATCGATGAAATTTTGTACCATTATAATAATCTTTTTGACAAAGTTTTATAAAATTTTCACATGTTTTAGGTACTTCTTTACAAAATAATTCCAAATTTAATGGTCCATAATTAGTAGTTAATCGAACATAACCTGTAAAAATAAACAATTATCTGTTATAATTTTTCAATATTGTTTAACATTTTTTTTAAGCAACAATTTAAAAACTAAAAACAGTAAAAACATTAAACTCACCTTTTTTCTTTATACGCTCAAATCGGATTTCATTCTCTTCTATAATTGCTGATTCATGTTCCAGCACTGGAACCATTGCTGTTGATGTAAAACTAGCAGCTACACGACCAGTAGAGTAATGAGCCTTAAAAAAAGGATAATCTATTTTATGAAAAATCTAAATTATATTCATTATAATTAGATACTTACAGTATTTAATTTATCTGGTTTTTGTGCTACTTCATCAATTATTTTTGTCGGTTCCTTGTAATCTCGATCTAATGTATCTAATATATCTCTTGTAGTTTTTGACACTGATTTTAAACGCCCTTCTGGGTCTTTAGATTGTGCTTCTTCATCTAAAATATTAAATAAACTGTTTATAGTAAATATACTATGACAAGTAATTAAAATTTTAATTATTTATACCGGGATCTACAACTTTAATTTTTTTAACAACATGATGAAATTTTGCGATATTAAATTTTGTTAAATTAGTTGGATCTTGAAGAGTGATTATATCTTTACGCAAGAATGGTTCATCTGTTAAAAGATCTTTCCAGTTTTTTGTTTTAATATTCAATTGTTCAATAGCCTAAAATTAAAATGTTTAAAACAAATTAAATTTTTTTTTTCAAAGAGAAAATAATTGTAATAATTTACCTCATACGAAAAAACGTTTCCTGTATTTTTAATTGCTACGATATGTGAGTGCTTAGTTAAGGCTTTAAACAATACTGGGCAATGATACTCCCCTGCTGCGTTACGATGGAAGTTCAATTTTATTAATTTTTTCAACTCAATAGGCTAAAATATAGAGTAAAATTTATGTAACACAAAATAAATGTTAAATACAATATATTTACCTTTCCTGTCACGGGGTTGTGTTTAAATTGTTTTATGTATTCAAGTAATGCTTCATACTCAAAAATATTACCATCAAGGTCACAATACGGTGTCTTGAAAGCGACAAGTGATAGACAACAATGATCAAATGGCAATCGAGCAAATTTAGGCTTTTCAATGCCTGGTCTTTTTCCACCATACAGTGTAGACCATTCTGTGTACGTAAGGTACCTAAATATAAAAATCAAAATACATAATAAAATAATAATTTACATTAAATTAATGTAGTTGGTAGAAATCTAAATGGTATATAGTTTTAACAATTATACAACGAAAACTTACATCTTATCCTTCTGATGCTGTCTCTTACCCATTTCGAACGGTTTATTTAAACAACAATATCAAAAATGTATAATAAATTTATAGACACTATCAACTTGTAAATATTACTTTATAATAAATATTTAATTGTCAATTTGTCATCTATGACTTGTACTCGGTATTTTAAATTTTAAAATGTATAGAATAACTATAAACAAGATGGATCATCAATTATAATAATGATAAATTGAAGAATAAAGATCTTTGACTATCTATGATAATAATTGTGATATGATAAATATTATAAATACTGATTATTCACATTTATTATCACAAAATATGTTATTCTTATCAATTTTTATCAAAAACATATCAGCTTACTTTTCTCAAAAACTTGATACTCAAACACTAAGAGTCAAATTCATTCAGGTTAAATATTAATTAACAGTATTTTTTTCTCAATTCTCGGTTAAACAATTTAATTTTCACTATAAACGATGTACAAAATACCTCGATTAAATACCGTAAGTGCAATTTTGGGCGTTTAAAATAATCTATATTATAGTATCTAAAATACTGATACTTGTTTACAGGTTGGATCAATTTTAGCTAAGCAAAAGGCTATACGTTTTGAAACTTTAGGCCATCATCTACGTGCCATTAACACATCAACCAATGAAGTCAAACCCAAGTAATACTAGACTAAAATGAAATAAAATCAATGCAATATAAATTGTTTTGAGTTTTTGATTTCTAATTGATACTTGCATTTCAGATCTCGATTTTTGTTTTATGTAATGGGCACTGTACTCACCGGCGTTATGGGCACAGCAGGGATAGTTGTTTATTCTAAAAATGATCCCAAATTTCGAGAGCTTCTAACAAATAATGTACCAGGTGCTGACAAGTTTATAAAAGTTTGTTTATTTGAAGATACAGAACTTATAGATCAAAGCAAAAAATTAGGAGGCCGTATGGTTTGTAAAATTGCGCAGCAAGTAAAATCAATAAAAGAAAGGCAAGTCATATTTTTAGTTTCATATAGAATGGTCATTGTTTTTTTAAATTTGTATGACAATTTAAGTTAACCAATATGAATGTGATTTATTTTTCATTTTTAACAGTATTGGCATTGATCAAAAACATACCTTTGTGGAAAAATCTGCAGGCGAAAGTAAATACTGTTTTAAATTTTTTAATGATTAATAGATTAAGGACAGATATGAATTTAAATTTTAAATTTGTTGTTTAAATAATATAGTTTTTTTTTCTTAATAAACAAAATACCAATTAACACTTTATTATTTTCACAATTACATATCTTTGAAATGTTTTTACTATTTATTTTGTTTTTAGTTAAATCAATTGCCAATAATTTTTCATCATCTGTTTCTATGGCTTCAAATAATGAACAAAAGATACTAAAAGAAAAACAAGGTTATAAGTTACAACATATTATAATTTACTAATTAATAGGTTACGGAACTTATTGTACTAAACATCTTAAAAATATGCAATTAAATAGGGTCTTTTTGTTTGAAAAAACCTGTAATAAGTATAGTATTTAAAATTCTTAAAAAGTCAAAAATAATTAAAAATTTATAATATTTAAATTAACTACTTATAAATAATAATAATTTTTTAACCTAACTTCAGGTATATATTAAAAAATAAAACTTATTTATTATTTTAGGTATTTATAACAATATTCAAGGTAGTTTCTGGTCACAGAATGCCGCATATTGGATTAAAATATGATATACCAACTTCCATGATATACAAACTTATTATCGCAAAATTTAAAACCTAGATGTCATTAAGTTTCTAATTATAAAATTCTTAGTAATAATCTCATTTATAATAAAAAATACTAAACTTTTCTTTAAAAATAATTAAATGTAAAAAATGTACTAATATGCTAACAAATATTTAAGTATACTCTTTTCTAAAATATCACAGTATATTCAAAATTAAAACTTGGTATTTCATTTAAATATCTTACTAAACAAATGTATATATTACCTAGAATAATTTATAACTAATGTAATAAAATATGCAAATTAATACTAGAAGTTCCGAACCCTACAATAATAACTAAAATTAATATCAATAATTTAATTCTTTACTTTTTTAGAATCCCAGCAATCTAAAAACCAACCAAAGAATGAATCCATCAACACTAACTTTGTACAGACTAAGCCTGCTGGTATATTTATTTCATTTTAGTATTATTATCTATTATAATTAATTTATTATACATACATTATGTAATATGGTATTCTACTTCTTCCAATTAAAGCTTAATGGTTTTTAGAAAAACTTCAAGAACTTCCACCAGCACCACTTAATTTACCTCCTCGCCAATATACTTTAGAAGAACTGGAAACTGAAATTCTTGAAAAATCTTCTTTGGGTATTAGCGCTTTAAAAAGTGCAACTGAAGCAATAAATGGTAAACATACAAATATTCAATTTTATTCAAACATTAATATTTTTATATGTAAAATAGATTATTATGAAAATGTTTATAAACTCATCAATAATACTACAGAAAACATAGATCCAAACTTGAGTGTTAAACTACAAATCCTTGAAGATAAGAAAAATGAGGTTTATAACAATGCATATGATAATGCAAATAAATACAAGTAATATCAATTACATATTATCTAAAACTTTTGTACAGGATAATTATTAGATACTCATGTTTTAGGAAAGAAATATTAGATAAACAAAAACTTTTAAACAACTCTCAATTTGAGGAAACTTCTGATAAATTAGCCAAGACTATACACAAAACTAATGAAGCATTAGAAGAACTGAAAAATGCCAGTATAATATTGGAAAAAGAAGAACATAAGTTGGCTAATATAAATAAGTATAAATCCAGTATCAATGAAGCACAAGCAGGCTTGATTGTAATTTTTTTTTATATATTATATATAAACATAAAAGTTAAATACTTAAATTATATTTTTTGTCTACAGGCTGAATTTGAATCATTGTTTCCAGGTTCAGACATAACTCAACACAAAATTAACGTAAACAATAATGATTTTGATATATTTCTGCTGTATGCGTTAAAAAAATTAAACTATTATAAAGACAATCTTTCCAAACAAGAGGTGAATATACAAATTAAATTTTAAAATATTTAACTGCGTAAAAGTATTTTTTTAACATCACATTTATTACATAGGCAATTTTAGATCGTAAAATAAACAATGCTATGAATGCAGATTTTTTGAATGTTGAAACTATTAATGAAATGAACTCCCGTTTAAATTCAGAAATACATCAATTAGATGAACATTTTAAACACCAGGTATGACTAAACTAATAAATAAATTTAGTTTTATTTTTTCCAGAAAAAATTAATTATAATTCATTTGCATGAATGTTTAACTTTTTGAAAATTGTAATTTATACTTAAAATTGTAAGTCATTATTTTGAGCATTGAAAGTTGCTTATAATGCAAGTAAAAATTGTTTTCTAGATGTCGTTATAATTATTTAATTAATTTACATCTTGTTGTGTAGACAGTAGTTTTATGTCTATAATAGAACTAATTTAATCATCCTTTCACTACATACATTTCACTATTTGCAATGTTAAGTTAATCACCATTGTTTATGACGGTTAACTAATTATATTAATTTATATTCTAGTTAAATCAATTTAACATCAAAGTTGATGAAGACTTAAAAGAACAACTTAAGGCACATAAGAAAGCACATGCAGACCTTATAACCAGAGCAGTAGACTTCACTAAAGAAGAATTTGAAAACAGAGTACGTCAAGAGCTATCGACTATTGAAAAATTAGAGCGTCAAAAATACCAATCACAGTTGAATTCATTAAAATCTGAACTTCAAAGTGTTATAAATAATTTAATAAGTAATGAAACATAAAATTTAATTGTTATCAACTAATGTTAGAAGAGATTAAGTTAACTTATGTATCATAGGTGAAGTTGAGAAAGAAAAAAAATTATTTGCCAATAAATCAATTTGGGAAGCAAGTAAATTTCTAAAATCTTCTCTTAGTAGTTCAAATAATGAACAACCAATCAACATAAAAGATCAAATAAATGCTATCAAAAAATTAGGAGGTATGAATAGATTTGAAGTATTTTATGTTTATCATAAATGCATTACTCATAGTCTATGCATTGAGTTTGTGATCATATTTATGATGTATTTTTTAGCTTCAGATTCAACAGTGGAAAAAGTAGTGAGTGCAGTTCCGATCAAAGCTCTTGAAAATGGTGTTTTATCTAAAGGCCAACTGAAAGAAAATTTTAACCAAGTAGAAAAAAGAGTATATGAGACTGCTCTCATACCTGATGATAGTTTCAGCTTACCTTTAATGGTATTTAGTTATTTGGCTAGCCTCATTGTTGTTCATCATTCACATATTTCTACTAATGAAGTTAACAATGAAGAATTTGATCCCCTAGAATTAAACACTTATGAAATTATTGAAAGAGCCAGGTGCATATAAACAATTTAATAATTAATATTTATAAAACATTTGTATAAAATATAATCCATTTCTTATCTTGCTGCAGGTACTGCGTTGATAGGGACAATATTTTACAAGCATTGCGATATTTAAACTTGCTCACAGGATGCTCACGAGTTGTTGCTAAAGAATGGATAAAAGAAGCCACAGTTTTTTTGGAAACAAAACAAGCTGTTGATCTACTATTGTCTTACACTACAAACAAATCTTTTTCATCTATAAATGGCAATTGAAATGTATCTGTTGTTTTAATATTACCAGTAGCCGAGTAATTAGAAAGCATAATAATAAATGTTTCTATTTTAATAGGCTTACATATTATGTATTTGTTATAAATTTTCTGTTTATTACTTCAATTTGCATTCTTTGTCAAAATCCAATGTAAATAAATATTGTGATTCTATTTCACTGGAAAATCATTACACATTTTTAATCACTTAAATAAATGTTTAGACTACCCGAAATGAAAAAAATTTAAATTGGTGGCTTAGTAACCATTTGTTATTGAGCAAAATAATAACAAATTTGTCAAATGTAATTATAAAAATCTATCAGAGAGAGAAAATAAACATGATCTGTATTTAGTTATTTATCTGGGTGTTTGAATTATAATTCTGCATAATATTTTAACAATTTGATTTATCATTGTTACAATTCTGTCTTGAAAAAAAACTTCATTGAGGTTTCCTTACCATCTAAATCATAATATTACTTTATTAAATTATTTATTTATTAATTAATATCTCATATTAAATTAATACAAAATATAAAAAAATGCTTAAACACCATAAAATATTATGCTAACCTTACTCTATGAACATTTATATAATTTGTATGATGACTAATACAATTTACATCAACTCAAATTAATTTTCTAATGTGAACAGTGTTAAAAAATTTATTTTTTAATTAGGTTAGTTTAAATTACATATAATGTTTTCAAATTTATAGAAATAAATTGTAAATTGTAATACAGTGCTATATAGGGCAATAAGTATTCTGTTCAATTAATAGTAATCAAATAAAATATTTGTAGATAGGTGCATTGTGAATATAAATTATGTATCAGAAACTTGAGTTATGAAAAAAAAATTATTCTATTTGTAATAAATGTAAGGTTACACAATACATATAATATTTGGTAGGTAAGTAAACAATTTATTGTTTTTGGTTTTATCGTGTTCCTATAAATGAAAATATAGGTATATAATATAAAAATGTACTGAATCAATTAGCACTAAATTCTGCACTCGTGCTCCTTAAGACTCGAGGAATGTTTCTAGCTTCATTAACTATCCCTTTGATAAGTTGTTAGTTGTTACTGTATAGTTGTAACATAAATTTTACATTGGTACAAATAATTTTATTGTTCTTGTTTTTATATATTTATTATTTATATTGCAATTAGTTACATAAACATGATTAAATAAAAAAAATTGGTATAAGTTATCCAACTTGCTATGCGTTGTTACAGGATTTTTTTTAAAACAGAAAATAACATTTAATTCATAATTCATATTTTATACTCAAAAATTAGTAAATTAACTTCAACGAGAATTTTAAAGATTGTTCTTAATGATATCAAAAAAGTATAGAGTAGTTTGAAAATGAATATATCAAGTGGTAGATTGAATATTGAATTAATTCATAAATATGAAATATCTGTCTGTGAAATGAACTAAAACTAAGATACACCCGTAGGCTATAGGAGTCTCCAAACTACGGCCTGCAGGCCGGATGCGGCCCCCGAATAAGTTTTCACCGGCCGCCAAATAACTGCAAATGTTCTAAAAATATATATAGTTTCCATAGTCGTTATTACGCGCACGAGCAATTATCAGTTGTATTGGCTGTAATTTATAAATTATATATGAAAATTAAATGGGTTCATACATTTTGGCCTGCTAAAATCTTTTTTTATTTTATGTAGCCCTTAGATAAAAAAAGTTTGGAGACCCCTGGGCTATAGTATTGTATTTTATGTTTCTTATTTTTTCTCGACAAGGACATTAAATAGAAAATTGAATCTATTGTTAAGTAATTATAATTTATAAGAACAAATTTATATATTGTCTAGAAATAGTAGAAACTCTCAATCAAAAATTGTATTAAGAAATATTTAAAATACATTAATTATTTGGCACTCGATTGTAGGTAATTTTATACTAAGACTTAAATGAAAAAATTTAAAAGAACTATTTTTCATTACAAAAAGACTTATTTCCATGCTTTCATTGGCTATCTAGATAGAAAGAACTTTAACTATAAGTCTAATATGTAGAAAATTTAGTTTGAAATGTTTAAATTCTTAAAGTCTAAATAATTAAATCTCTTATTATCTATAAAGAGAGCAACCGTGGTAGTATAAAACAAATTAGTGGTAGCATTTAATTTAGTCACGAAGATTAGAAATCTTCAAGGTGGATATAATTATATGTTCATTATACCTATGTCACAATAACCGTGATGATGAGATAACACTGTTGATTGGTGGGCGACAGTGGGACAGCAAATAGCGATAAGTTCGATTTCAATTTTCAACGAACCGTACTTGATATTTTCGTAGTATTCACTGTTCGTTCAATTCGATCGTACTTCGATAGTTTGTTAGTCGTTTACCTTCACCGTGTCTGATGGTTGAATGTTGTACTTCGCGAAACCCGTCATAGTGTCATACGTGTTAACATAAAAATCTTAATAATTAATAATGACCACAAAATTAAATATAGTTTTTAGTTTTATTTTGGCGGGCTCCAATCACAAATAGCACCAGGATGTGTTTTTAATTTAATTAATCGTCCTAGGCGCATCGTTTTTAAAGTTTTTTTTCTAATAAATATCCATAAAATATTACATTGTAATTCATTTATGTCCAGCGAGCCGTATGCACCACTATGGATGGAAACAGACTCAGTGCCTTACCAATACTTGAGGAAACATTTTATGCACTGTCTAAAAAGCAGTACTCATATAAAGTGTCACTGACAAATGAAGGTCTACATCTGACCAAGAATGGTGAGAATGGGACAGAGAAGACCGACTTGATACACATCCGTGATATTATTGGCTGTAAGTGCATGCGAAATAGTGGCAAGTCAAACCACTGTGCTTGTAGGCCGATAAAAGGGGGCTCAGCAAAATCTACCAGAGATATCACAACGGAAACAGATGAGTGTCAGGTGCGAGTGCCTTATGTAGAGGCTGGAGATTGCAGTGCTTACCTAAGTATATATGCATTTGTACTGAAAAATGTTGGAACGAAGAACAAAAAACGTGACAAGATGACCATCACACTGAGATTCAGAAACTTCAACAGTTATGATGAGAATAGCCGGGTGGCAACCAAGTGGAAATCGGCCATCAAATCACTATTGCGAGCTAGGTATGAGGACAGTACTATTGTTGCACCATTAGATGATCATTACCTAGGTAAGCACATTAATTGAAATAATATAAAAAAATTTTTTTAATTCAAAGTGATTAATTTTACATTTGTACCTAGAAATTTAAGTAAATTAAAATATGAATACTTGTTAACCCACAAATAGTATTTTTGTCTTTCTAATGTCCACTGTAAAAAACTTGAGTTCAGCAAAATCCATTTTATACTGTTTGTATTAATAGTAAAATACATTTACTTATTATTCAACTTAAAGTAAGAATGTTATCTAAAGCATAGGCTTTTATTGATTCTTTCATTTTCAATTGAGTTATAGCTATATAAAATATTGAAAACTTTAAAATGCTTATAACTTATTTTAAAATATCTATAAAATCTTATGTGATGCTCTAAATAATATTTTTATCTTTAAGTTAAATAATAAATCAATTGACTCTAACATTAAAGTAAACAGCATAAAAAGGATTCTGCTGAACATAAATTGACTATAAAAACAGATACGACTATTTTATGCAAAATTTTTCTAAACTATCTGAGTTATACATTTATTTATTAATGCAATAATGACATGTTTATTTACATTATGATTTTTTAAACTCTTTATGAAAGTATTCAAACTATTAATTTTTTTTCTTTCAAGTCAAAATGAATTTATGTTTTATTTTTATGATTATAATTTTATTTTCATTGTATGATAAAATTAATATTTTTTTGTTAAACATTTTTTTTTTTAATTTACATACTTATTTTTATTTTTAAAAGAATTTTGCTAAGGAGAATATTTCTTGGGTTTTTTTAAAGCATACAAGCAACACATTTAGACTTTTTAAACATGACTGTCCTTATAAAATTAAGTATTTTTAGTGAAAACGAATTAAACATTAAGGTATACAGTATATTCACACCAAAAAGTATCCCTAAATATTTTAGTAGAATAACTTTAGATTAAATAGGGATTTTGGTTAGCTTTTCAGTATCTCTATGTTAAAAAATAATATATTAAATTATTTTTATGTCATTGTTTTTAATAACATTTATTTATCTATTTAATGTACTTGTTGCTTAGTTTTTATATTGTTTTCAAATCTATAGATATCAAATATTTACATGAAAAATTTAAGACTTATAATATTTCTATTCTAAGTAGGTACTTTTAAAATAACTTTTGACCTTTGGTGATAACCTGTTTATAATTTGTATTACTGATTAGTTTAATTAATGTTAATCAAGAATAATTCTAAATTTTAAGAATTGAGTGCCTTTTTTTAGAAAATTAAAGGTAAAGTTAATAAAATGTCAATCAGTAAATCTATAGTATAGAAATTAAACACATATTTTACTTTATTGGATAAAAAGTAATTTAAACTAAGAACTTATTAAATATATATATATATATACACCTATATACCTATACCCAATTGTATTGATCCTACATTTATTCTGTTTTATCACTAAATCATGCCACTTTTTATTATTAAAACACAAATACATATACTAAAATAGTATTGATTCATCAATAGCCCATGAATTACTATTAGGTCATCTGTAAATTAAAATGTATAAGTAAATTTGTATTTTACATTCACATAAATTAAATTGTATTCAGTATAACTTATTGTCTCGTAAAATTTAATTAAAAAATTCTCTTGTACTCCTCTGCTTAGTATTTATCTGTCACTGATATAATTTATCAGTGATAGACTACCTATATTTAATAGTTACTGCCACAAAGATAATTATTAATAAGAAGAATGTTTATTGATAATATTTATACTGTATATTACATTTACTTTTTGAAATCCTGGAAAAAATTCCAAAAAAAAAAAAAAAACTAACAGGAAAAAAATTAAAAGTACAATAAAAAATTCATTAAACATTAAATTTTATTAAATTATTTATTTAGGTATTTTGTCAAATTTATTACACATATTGTTGGAAGTAGATACTATGTTTATATAAAATACAAATAATAAATATATCCATTATTAATTTAATGTTTTAAAGAAAAAAATAAAACTACTTAATTACTAAAATGAAAAAAAGAATGACATTTAAATATAATTAATAATATGTTTTATAATTAAAAATAGTGTATTTTATAAAAAAAAAAATACATATTAAAATGATACAAGGCAATTTTTGTTAACTAAGTTTTTATTATTGTATGTATCAAGTACTTATATATTAACATATTTTATTAAATTATTACCATTTGATTGAGCATTTTAGGTTCAGATTCCAAACATAATAATAAAATTGATTGTATAACATTGTAGATAAACTGTAAATTATAATCTGAAAATATACAAAAATTATTTATTTTTATTATTTATATTATATAATATATTGAATTATTATTTTAGATTTATAATATTCCATTTTTAAATAAAACGTGAGTTTGAAAAATTAAATTTTACATAACATGGCGCATACCCAATAGAGTAAATACCTATAAAAACTGAGTGCATATGCATTTCTATGTTAATACATCTAAATTAAATTGAAGTCTACTAAAATTGAATTAAAAATGTCACCATCAATAATTTTTAGAAGGATTTTAACATATATTAATTAATAAGGTGTACTATATATGTGTATGTCCAATGTAGAATAATTTATGTTTACTACTTTGTTAATGCTATTCAATTTAAAAAAAAAATAGTATTTAACTTATCACTTCACACATTATTAATGTCTTATATAAATTATTATAACCATATAAATAAATATTCTAATATCTACAGTTCCATTATAGAATAATTCTTAACTAATTATAAATAACTCTTTAGCTGACAATCTATCAACATCGTTAATAAACATAAATATTTATTTATTAGCTTTTATTTTCATCATATATTTTATTATCTGTTATAACATTTTACTTCTTAAATTAATATATGTTGATTAATTATTAATTATTATTAACTTTTTATTTTATGTAGACCTTGTTGTTTAATCCTAAGGGTTTATTTATCAACTGTCATTACTTAAGATAATTATAATTTAGGTATTTTTTTATTATGAATATAAATAATTATTCAAATATTTTCATTTTAGTAAAACAACTCATTAAACTATTAATAATTTATTTGTTTTAATTTATTATTTTTTTCAATAAACCCTGTATAAAATATATTTGCTTAATTTCTTTATTGTAATTTATATAACAAAATATAAAAGAAAAAATAATGTGATATCTGATCCTAATTTATATCTATTTATTTTTATATTTACATACATGAATATTATAAATAAATATTGATTTATTTAGATAAATATACTCATAATTTATTATAAAAGATGATTTTAAGTTCATGCATTATATTAATGATAAAATAGTACCTTAAAATCATGTTGCTTATTGTTGAACATGTAAATATATTAATAAATGTAATCATCAGAAATCAAAAAAATTATTTTTAAATCAGTAGTATAATATATTTGTGTTATTGTGTACCACAACAAGTAACATCAACTAATAAATATAAATCAGTTCAATATATTTTTGATCAATGTTAATTGTACATGATAACTAATTAGTAAAGCTCAAAGGTTATGTCTAGTCAATTTGTAAATTAATATTGATTAAATCTTCTTGGTTTCAGTGTTTGAATTATGAGACCGTGGGACCATAGAGTAAAAATACCTTATTTTTTCTACTTTAAATCTATTGATTTTACAACAATTTTTTTTTTATTATAGATAAAAGAAAAGAATAAAAAAAATTCTTTAATTTCCAACTTTAAAGGCGAGTTCTAATAAAAAATTAGATCTGATTGGTACTTTAATACTTTAAACTTTGAAAAAGTCAAAATTTATCAAATTAAGAAAAGAAAAATGGGAGTTTTTGGATAAAACAGTTTATAATGAAATTAATTTAGTTTTTTTTTTTTTTTTGTATAATTCGTAAACAAATGACTGATGATACTTGTGATTAAAATCTTATATTTTATATTATTATTTTCTGTAAATGACCAAATGTTTATAAATATGTGTTTTATTTAGTCAAAAAGTTTAAAAATGTAATTCAAGATTTTTAATAAATTGTTCATATTATACTAATTAAAATAATATTGAATAAATATAATTATAATATTTTTTTTTCATATAAACTTCCCTGTAAGTAGTTTATGCTGTAATCAAAAAAATCAAAGTAATATTTAAGTACAATTTTATTTTTATAAATATTTGAAGTTAAAATTTTTACAAAATTGGGTATTTAAATGAAAAATAACAATTTTAGTTATTTAATTGTTATTTTTCAGTCTATCTATATAACTTAACCTATGTTATACTAACTACCTATGTTTAACTAATATCAAAATAAATTATTTAAATAGTAATGGCTATAAATACATCATAAAATATAATTGTAATATAGGCTGACACACCATTTGCTTAGAATCGTTTTTTGTTTACAATGATTTATAATTGAATTAAAATTAAACATATACATTAAAGTAACTCAATGATGGGATGCATATCTTACTTAACTAAAGTATTTCCATTTCTTATAGTTTACTAATTATATTCTATTACTAAAATGTTTTCAATAGTTAAAGCAATTATATCTTAATTTTCATGTTTTCAAATAATAGTATATTTATGAATGATAAAATATTATCTTTAAGTAAGTAGTTATAAAGATTTAAAAATATATTTGTTACAATAGAGTTGGAATCAATTCCCATAATAATTTATTCTTCTTTACGACAAAATGAATGTAAAATAGTAGGCCTAAACAATAAGTAAAATGTAGTATAGTATATTATAACAAATATACCTAGGGCTTTATTTTGAAATTTTATATCTTTGGTAAAGTACATAAATTCTTCCATTAAAATGATGATTTCATGATAAATTTTTGTGTGCATGAATATCTTTTTTTTTTTATAAGGTTTTATATTCTCTTCCATATAAATTTAAAAATAATTTTAAACACTGTATCATTAAATTCTATAATATTCAAATATTTTATACTATAAGTAAATATGCTTAGTATAAAAACAAATGTATAACCATCAGACCTAAACTGGCATTATAGTTTGTGATGATATCCATCATCTGTTATGAATAATAATTATAAACTATGTACCAGGTAAACATGTTCTACCACATATTATTATGGTATTTTTCATTACCTATGTTAATATTAAAAATTACAGTAATAAAAAAATTTAATTAATTTCTATTCAAGTTCAAAAATATGGTGATTGTTTGCATATAATTTCATTAAATATTTTTAAAATATTTCAAAACTCATTCATTTGAAACAATGAGTAGGCTGAACTTATTATCTTAAAACACACATATTGAAGAAAGTATAAGGTGTTTAATAATTTACTTTAATACTATGAAAAGTATAATAATTCATATTTCTTTGCTAAATTAAATGAAGTATTAATTTTCTTTTAAATTTAATTTTACTAGATAATGTTAATTATTTTATTAGCCATCATAATTTCAAAACAAAATAAATAAATAATAGTTATATTTATAATTTTCAATTAATTATATTAATTAAATAAATCATTTATGATCTATAGAAGCATACTTAAATAGTTTAACGTTAAGATGCTTAGTAAATATTTGGTTAATATTTAAATTATCTATCAATTTCTTTTCACAATAGTTTATTAATGGCTGTTTAATTGAAATTGTATATAATAATTAATAATTAATGAATAACAATTAACTTTAAAAATAGCATATTTTTTCATGTTTCAGGTAATCATTTATTAGTGATTGTGAACCCAAAAAGTGGTATTGGAAAATCACGTGAAATATTTCAACGTAAAATAGTACCTCTTTTAAATATGGCTGATGTTGACTACGATTTGCATATTACATGCATGCAAAATGATGCTAGGTAAATATATTTGAAGTATTTATAAACAACCATACTTACCCGGAACTTGACATAAATCTATATGTACATTTGTCCTCCATTCAATTAAAATTAATCCAGGATTTCCTCTTTTGATTTCCTCTTTTGATATCATCTATTGTTTTGCATTTTTTATCCTCACTGCATTAGCCCCATGTAAAATCACTTTACTTATTGCATTAAGTTACATTTATCAAATGTTTCTGTTTGAATTATAATAATTAAATAAACTTACCACCAATTTTATAACTATTTTTATCATGAACATGTATTTTAAAATCTTAAAATAGTCAATAAATCAATTATTATGTTAAATTTTTAAATCTATTGAATTTTACTATGCAATTATTATAATATAATGCTATATGCAATGCTAAACTTTTTATTGTATAGACCTATTTTAAAATGGCATGTGAAGGTCAATCACTACTGTAATTATACTTATTTGCATTTGTACAAATATTATTTTGTTAGATAATTAGTGCTAATACAGTCCTTTTAAATTTGTTAAAATCCTGTTTAAAAAACCTATTCTAATAACAACAAAAATGAACTAATTTAAGCATTTTATACTAGAATAGAATATCCAAGGACATAATGTTTGTTCATTTGTTTTATTCTTACCTTTTTAATCTTTGTTTAAAATATTTAGGTAATTTATTTAATATATTTAATAATGTTTATAAACATTTATGTTGCATGTCATGTTTTATATCATTTACTTTTGGTAAATTTATAAAATGTATTTATTCAATATAATTTTTTATGAACATAAAATAATCATTTATTTATTTACACCGCAATAAAATTAATACATCTAATTGTCTGAATACATATAAATATTTTTAAATATTTAGTTTCACTTAAAAAATTTAATTTTTTATTTTGAGTTAAATAGAATTCAAAAAATAAAACAAATTGATTTATATTCTATCCATGATTATATCATATTCTATTGCTTAATAAGTCTGATTTAAAACAATGATTTTCACTTTGGAATTAAGTATATATTATGTTAATCTTGGTTATTATTGGCTATACATTTGCATTTTCACTTAGTTAATCATAACTCATTAAAGTAGACAAATTGTAATTGTTTGTGATTCTTATTTTATAATTTTATAGACTGTAGTTGTCATTTTTTTGTTTTTTAAGTATATTGGTAAATTATACATGATAATTAATTATTATAAATCATAATTAAAATCATCAAATTAAAATTAGTATAATATTAATTATAACATTTATAACTTTATGTGGTGATGTAATTTGGAATTTTCCATATTATTTATTCATGAATAATTTATTTTTATTTAAATGTTTGACTTTGCCTATCTATTTATAATAATAAAGATATAATTTAAAATCACGGCTTATCGTGTCTTGTAAAGTTGAATAATATATTTAAATGGAAGGTAGTATATTACCAATATTTTATTACCTACCTGCGACTTGCGAATATTAAATATAGTAACGGAATAAAACTCGGAATAATGAGTTGAGAAACCACTTTTATTAATTAGTTGATATATAAAAAAAAAATATGAAGCTATTTAAAATTAACGCAAACTGAATTTGATCTATTTTATTTAAGTTTAAATGAAAATTGACATGACGATTTGAATGAAGTAAATAATATTTATTTACTACATACCTACTTTATACCTACCCATATTAATAATAATATGTATTTTTCTATCAACACTTTCAGTTGTTGAAAAATTCTGAAAGTTTTACCATTGGAACTTGAACTTAATTGGTATTTATTGAAAGAGGCGATAATAATAATGAATATTATAGTTTATCAATCGACATAATTGGAATTTTTTTTTTTTTTTTGAAATAAACAATCTATACCCAAAATTTATAATAAGCTTATATACTAAAAGTGGGTATTGACATAAAGAGGTTGATTATGCTGTCACTTATTAGCAAAACCTAGATTGATTTTTTTCCCCTATACTTATTTATTTATATGTATATGTCATTTTTTTTTTTTTATTGTTTGTTAGAGTTGTGGGTTTATTTGTAATAGGCCACGACATCGCTTTCTTTTTAACCAGCGACCAGGATTTATAAAATGATTATGATGGTTATGGAACCGCTTATAAAAGCGCATAAAAAAGAAACGTGCTTCATTATCGATAGTTTTCATATTAAGATCGTTAAGTAACGTTAGGTTAGAATATATATATTGGAGCGTTAGAGAGACGTTAAAGTGTCAAAATAGGCTTGAAAATAATTTTATATATTAGTACTTTGGTTCTAAGATTGGTGTTAACATTTTTTGATAATAGAGATTTGACCATATGCAGATGGGCATTAAGTGTTGTATGGACATGGTTGTTCCAAGTCAATTATTTATCTTGGTGAAGTCCTAAGTACCTAACTGTATTAGACGTTGGAATCTGTATTTTATTAAGAGTAACAGTTGGCAGATACCCTATTTAAGTTTGAATCTTGTGTGAATTGACTTATTTTGGTTAATTTTTATATGCTATTTGATGTAGCGAAGGAGATAATAAATACTAACTTGTGGGATATCATCATAATTTTTGAAATTCCCGAAGTAGCTGTATTGAACTTTAATATAACGGTCAGTCATATACAATATAAAAAAAATAAATAAAGAAGAGTGGAGATAAATTAAGTTTTTTTGGAAATATATTTTTGATTATTGGATATAATAATATTTCATAACATATTATTTAGTTCAAAAAAACTGATGCATAATATTAAAATAGTAAAAATATACCTAGATAGCCGGAAAAAACTATTAATAAATCAATTTAAAAATAATTCAAGAAAAAAATTAAATTTTAATAAAAAAAAATATTTATACTTTTTTCTTCAATCAATATAAAAAAAATAAAAACTTTTAATAGGTATACCTATTAAAATACACGTATATATATATTAATTTATAAAATAAATGATTTATCAAAAAAACTAGCTACACACCATACTACACAATGATACATTACCATTAACCAAGTTGTGTATACATATTACAAACCATAAAATTCTAATAATAAATCATTAATAAAAAAAAAAATCAAATGTGTAATATTTAGGTTTTCTTAATTAATATTCTTATTTTGGTTTTTTACTTACAACCAATCAATACGTATGGCTATAAGAAATATAAAAATAATTATTATACAAAAAATATATTTTACGTATATTGAGACGACTTGATTTACCTTTGGTATTTGTGATCAATTTTTTAATTTTTATTTTGCATTGCTGGCAATAATAATAATTATTTTTACAATGCATTTAAATTTTAAATGTAAAACTTAAATGTTGTATACTTGTAAGAATGTAAGATAAGTTACCCTGTTGATAACTCCGATTAATTACCTACAATTATATATGATATACCTGTGTGTGTGTGTCCTCCGACCCCCCGTTGTCTTATGATATATAGGTTACGAAACGTGTATTTAATAATATATGTTAAGTTTATCGTAATATAACGTTTTTACGTAATAAATCTGTGTTATCGGTTTATTAAAATGTATTGTGTACGCGAATTATACTGGAATACTACAGTAAAACACGTCCATTCACGATGTGCAGAATAAACACGTTTTATTTTCTGTCTGTTCTTGCATACAATTTTTTATCTTAGCAATTTTGGAATTCGATGCTAATTTACATGATGGCGAATAGCGACGATCGGCGATGTTATATTACTGTGTGTCTATGTGTTGCAATAAATTCATCGACGTGCCTCTTGGGTACCTATATGCTATATTTAAGGTTACTTACCATATACATAGTGTAATATACTATTTTAGTATTTTCCATATGTGCTCATTTTACAAGATAATACATGTTCCTATATATATCGTAAAAATATAAACGTCTAGAGATTGTTTTATTTTCTATTTATCGATTTTGATATGTATCTAACACACAAATTTCACCTGATAAAAACGATATTTGTAATCTTTCTGCCAACGTGCCATTTAAAATTTATCTTCCAGCCACCAGATGAAATCGTTCGTTATACAATATTAGTAATATAGCATTACATAATTTTAAAATAATTATAAATAATAATAATATAATAATAATAGTAAAAACAACATAGATATAATAACTAATATTTCATAGTTATAATCAAAAAGTTTAGACAGTTATTTAATGTTCCTTAAATATCATACTTCTTATTTATTCTAGCAATAATTTTTGTTATAAAAACTGAATGCCAGTATTAAGCGTTACGAAAAATAACTCAATAAAAATATTTTTTAATAATCGTTATTTATGCATCGTCTTCGCTTGTTATCAGGAACTTGATGAGAACGAGTAACATCTATAAATGGGGCCGTGGTGTAGTAGTGCTCGGCGGTGACGGACTCATGTTCGAAGTGATAAACGGCCTCATGGAACGTTCAGACTGGCAGAGGGCCTTCGAATACCTTACCTTGGCTGTTATACCCGGTGGTTCCGGCAACGGAATGGCCAAGTCGATAAGTTTCGAGACTAAGTGAGCTCGAATTTTATTTTAAAAAAACTGCACATTGAATAAAACCAGTTAAACGTTTATAGTGAACCCTACAATCCTGATCCCATTCTCATATCGGCGCTAAATATTGTTGGCGGTAACAGGTGTCCAATGGATCTGGTTAGAGTCGAGACTCTTACACAAGTCGTATACTCTTTTCTTTCGATTGGTTGGGGCTTTATTGCTGACATTGATATAGAGAGTGAGAGACTTAGGATGATAGGTAACCCCAGATTTACTATTTGGAGTATTGCTAGACTTATTGGTAAGGATTGCCGATTGTACGCGCTATATAACGCGTTCCCCCACGATTACCATACGTTAATGTTGTGTTTATATTTACATATAGGTCTGAGAAGTTATCCCGCCCGATTGTCGTATTCCAAAATTGACGATTTGGAAACCGAAACCAGAATGAACAATTACACGAGAGGCACGTCAGGTGATTTCCAAGAGGTCATCGACGACGAACCAGTATCGATCGAATTCGGAATGGATCCGGTAATTATAATAAAGTAGTGATTACACGCTCACTTGTATATCATTTCTGATTTAAGATCAATTTTTATTTTTATTGTTTTCGCTTAGTTGCAGGAAGACTTTGAAATACCACGTGAGCGGATTGAAAGTTTTTCATCAATAATATCCAAGCGCACGGCATTCATGTCTGTCAACGAAGCGCCGAGCTTTTCGTCTATACCAGACGTGATCGAGGGATCTGAAGTTTGGGTGCGCGGACCTATATCCAAACTCCCTCCGCTTTCTCATCCAGTTCCGTCGGACTGGGTAGTCGTTGAAGGTAAGAACTTCAAGTGTATTATTTTTATAACTCAACGATTTAGTTCTCACTGTATATAGCGTATTATTTTTCGTTTATTTCTTATTTTCAAATCTGATTTTTACGAATTATTGTCTCTATATTTCCATTTAACAGTATTATATTAGCTGGTTAAAGTTTTAGTATTCGTAAAAATAAATAGACAGAAAGTTATTCATATTATAACTGTTAACTTAAACACGGTGGTCGGATCACATAATAAACTAGTATTGTACAACTTTGTTTATTTTTTAGACGAGTTCGTGATGATACATGCTTCATATCTATCTCATATAAGCGAAGACGTGATACTAGCACCCAAATCAAAATTAAATGACGGTGTTATCTGGCTGTTGGTCATTAAAAATGGAATATCCAGAACGACTTTTTTACAAGTGAGTGAATCATTATTAAATGATATATTTGAAAATATTTTCAATAATGGCCTCTGTTTAGTACTGTATAATATAGTGTATTATGTATTTCCACTACAAAAATACATTATAAAAAAAGGTTAACTATATAATAAATATAGTAAATAACCAAGAAGTTTATACACGCACATAATAATTAATATGTATATAAATATAATATTATATACATTTAGCTATTGTTCAATGGCAAACATTTAACAGTTTAGTTAATTTTATATTTTTCAAAAAAAAAAACTGTGGTTTTATTTAGTTGTAAATTTGCAATATGCTTATGAAACATATCACTTAAAAAATATTTATTGTTTTTAATTTTTCAAAATATTATTTTATTTTATAAGAATGTTAATCTATAAAACATACTGGATATTAAATGAATAATATTTTTATTTACGAGCATTTAAAGTTAAGATAAGAGTTGAGTGAAAAACAAATATAAAATCATAAATAATATCTGATAGTTATTTAAACATATTTGTACTATAAATTACTCAAAAACTTACCGAATAGATATAACAAAATCATACAAATTTTCACCATTCATAAAATCGTCTATGATAAAAGTTACTCGTATCTAAATCGTTAATATAATTACTGCAATGTCGTTCAAAAATCTTTGTAGGGCAAATACCGCTCCTGTATTCTAATATGTGTGTACTTGGTTTAACCAATATAATGTCTCGTGATTCGTGTGCTCGCTCCTTTTATTGAACTCAGTGACAACTATACCTATTGTATTTACTATGTATAATCTGGGTTAAATCTAAACAAGCAGCAATTAATTATTGACTAATGTACAATAATATGGTTAAAACTAAGTTGACCTTAGGTCCAACTATCCCGTATCTCTCTATCCTAAGGAAACAGTTAATTATTTACATGGTTTCTAATGTAGAAGAGGTTGGTCGAGGATCACACAACACACTCGTATAGGTAGTACAGAACGACTTATACATTTTCATAAAAATGGAAGTTTTGAAATTTATATTCAGACATATTAACATTATTATTTTAGATTAGATAGTTACAGTACAGTACCTACGTTAATAAAACGGATCTACATTTTGAGTTTTTTTCTAAAACAAGAATTAAATTACGTATTCGATTATGTGATACTAATAATATAAATAATATAACGTATTATATTATGTATCATACAATCGTATTCTAAGTATTAGCATGGTTATACCAGTAGACAGTAGTCAGTGAGCAGTAACGTGATTTTTCAAATGTTAAAGCCTATTGGGGAATTGAGATTTTCTCGGCGGCCCCCTCCATATTAACATGCATTTTTGGAAATAGAGCCCATATTTATCCTTAATGCATTGGTGATTTAATATGAGTGGAATATGAATAAGTAACTATACAGTATGTGATCAATGGCCATAATATTACAATATAAATTTGAAAATAAATTAAATTCAGTGTTATATAGAATCATTTTGAGCTACAATGAATAAGAGCACTAAAACTAAATATTAGAAGCTAATACGAAAAAATATTTCTTAAAAGGCATTCGGGCTCTTGCACAGTCTCCAACAATAAGGTACGAGCACAAATACAAAAGGGTAAAGTGTGTTGTACTATTTTTAAAATTATCTTAATATTGTATTTATTTTATTAAAATATCGTCAATTATGATATTTATGCTCGATTTATAGTTAGTATAATATAGGCAATAAGACAATAATCACTTACGTGTATGGTATCGTATAATATCAATTAAAGCAGTAAAACAAATACAAGGAAAAAAGTAGATATTTAGAATTTATACTCGTTTCCTGTTAGTTTGTATACAGCTGTTTACTTTGCGTGCTCATATTTAATAGTTTTTCTTCATCGATTATTTTTTTTTAATTATAAGTATATTTTTATTGTTGATCTTAGTTGTAAAATTGTAAAAAATATATAAAATGGAAAATTCCAAAAAAAAAAAAATAGTAATAATAAAATAATATCACATAAAAGTAGAAGACTAGAAGAATAAAAATAAAGAAAGAAATACTAAAATGACTTTCACTTTACTTATAAGTTTATGCTTAAATTATCTATCTCTTGAATTTAATGTAAACGTACTTTCATTAAATTAAAATTTATTGAAAATTATTTAAGAAATATTTTAGGTCAACACTTATTACAGAGTTTATTGATTCTTTAGAAATAAATACATTAGAAATTAAAAGTTGGATATTGAATATATAATAGGTTACTAAACAGTTATACATATATTAATCAATATGTTATTGTTTTAAAATTTTAAATAAATTCAATGATTTTCTAAAAAAAATTTCGTTATTAACAGGATTTGGACTTTATACGCTAAAATTATAAAAATATGTAATTACATCATGTACATTAAAAAATATTTAAATAATTATGCATGTATTTTTAATTTAAAAAATACATTTATTTACTTTAACATACGTCATACATATACTTAGTATATAACTCAATAAAAAATAAATACAAGTACATTATTTTTTTTAATCATTAACCATTTTTGATATTATTTTATAACCTATAGGTATGTGTACTGACTTAAAAAAAACAATTTACTTCTAACTGGTTTATAAAACTACGTAACCGAGCAATATTTGAAATTTTTTTTTTAAGCATTTAAAAATAAATACGTTGAAAACACATTTACAAGTCAAAAACAATGATTACTTTTATACGATACGCACGATTTACACGACTGATTGTTACTGACGTAAGTACCTATTACAGTTTTAACGAATAAAAACAAGTCCATAGTAATTAATTAATCGTGTAATTTAGCATGTTCATATCACATTTTTAATGGAATTATGATCACAATCGTAGAATTTGAACCGCTCTCGTCTTTCCATATTGGATAATGATAACAATTTAAAATTAGTTTAAAAATAATCATTACCTATGTCTTAATTGATAAAATAATGAGTTAAAATATGTTAATTTTAATGGAAAATTTGACTTTTTTTTGTAAATAGTTATAAATATTTAAAATATCAATAAATCTTCAAAATATACTTTTATAAGAGAAAATTCAAAAATAGAATAATGTATAAAAGTTTCAATCCCTATAGTTATAAGGTATACACATTGAATATCACATTTAATTAGTCATAAATTTGAAAGTGAAGTGAATGTTTTTTTTTATGTAGAGAGAGACCTTCATAAAATCCAACAGTAAGACAAAAATGATCGATCCGCCTCTAACAGCGTTAACCATAAAACTAATTAGATGTCTAGATATTTATATAATATCATTAATTATACATTTATAAATAATATTATATTTTATAAACAATACGATAATATGTATTTTGTAGTTTAGTATTCCAAGAATGTGTTATTAGTTTTTTTCAGGCCTTTACCATTATTTTAGTATCTCATTCTGACTATCACTGAAGAGATGAACCTAAAAATAATTTTTTCTTAGCCAATGAACATTTTTTCTGTTATATCTATGCCCTAATGAACGGCTCAAATATAATATTAATAAAGATAATATAAATTACTTACAATTGAACATTGAATAACGTATGATATTTGAATGAAATGGTTTTAGGGGTGAATACATATTATTATGTATGACCCATTCAAAAATACTATCTATCTTTAAAATAGACAATCATAATATAAGTTTTCATAAAAAGGTCTGTGAGAAATAAAATCTATAAATTAACGTTTTTAAACCTTTGCACATCATGTTATTAACAAACCGTATAATATAGACTACGTAATGAATTTATATCATGATCTACTTACCTAACTATTGAAATGAAAGTATCTACTAATCATTGATTACATTTTGTTTTTTAAGTTATCGGCCATGTGTTATTTATTTTTATTTTTTTATGGATCGCAGTTTTTGTTGGCCCTGTCATCCGGAAACCACTTGGCCATACCCAACGTCGAAATGATCCCCGTGCGAGCATTCCGACTCGAACCACTATCCCAAAGCAGCCACCTGGTAGTTGACGGCGAACTGTTGAAGCACAGCCCGGTACAAGCGGAAATCATGCCCGGCATCACCAACGTGTACGCCCGACAAAAGTTCTCCTGATGGCTCGTCTCGGGCGAATACGATTGAACACGACACAAGAGTGATGAATACATTACATTATTTATAGTAATGTAGTTTACGTAATTTGTTATTTTTTTATTATTTTTTAAATCCAGAGAAAATTTGTCGATATTATTACCTCGCCGTATACCATGCATATTGCGTTGTTGTTTCTCGCCTCTTTTGTTGCTCAAGAGGCATGTTTTATATTTAATTTATTATTATCAATATTTATTTTGAATTATTCGTTGTATTCGTTACCAGCGACGTTACCGTAACGTGTAATATCATATTTTTTTCTCTTTATAATATCCTCGTGTTATGGGACCATTTGTTTATTAGGTGAATAGGTTGTTAAATGTTACATTATAATTATTAAGGTCAAAAAAAAAAAAAAAAAAAAAATGATAATTAACATATAGTCAATGATTACTGTCTGTCTTGGTAAATGAATAAATCATTTGTGTTTTTCCTTTGCTCAATCTTTATTGTACAACCAATGCTAACACTAAGTTTTAAGTCTCCGGACTGAATATGTAACAATACGTATAGCACACGTCAAAATATCAACTAATATTATTATTTTTATACTGTAATAGCTAATATATTTATGCAAAAATAATATATAGTATGAATATTTGGTGTTATAAATACAATATAGAATAAGAAAATTTTTTTCCCACAGAAACATATTAATTTTGATGGCCTACTTGTCCGTCCTTGATTGTGCCTAATCGAGAATTATGGAATTACTCTACAATTACAAGTCAATTACATATGTCTATCATTGTGATTATACTTTTGTGCTACTTAAGTTAAAATAATAATAGTAATAATAAAGTTACCATGAATTTTAAATTTGCTGCTGTTCTTTATTACAAAAGTCACTTCTATGTCTAAAAAAATATTTAATTTAGACATTTTATTGCCAACAAATAAATTAGGATCAAATGTATAGCATTGATAAGTCCATTTATAAATATTTGTCAAATGAATGTGTACTCGACATCTAGTTTTACTGTTAAATAGATTTTATAATGTGAAAGTAATTAATTAATTTTAATAACATTAAGCACATAATATATCATCAATACTACTGTCCCTTCCTTAATTCTATGTCAATTTCAAACTTAATTTCAGGGCTCGCTAATCTTATGAAAAATAATAAAATATATAACTTTCTTTGATAACATATCTCGTTACATATAATTTATTTACAAATTTATTGCTTCATCACATTCCCTATTAATTTGAATACTACACACAGACTTAACATGATACAAAAATAAACATTATATAGATCAGTTATATTTTTATTTTTTTTTTTTAATTTTTATTTTTAAATGTTTCTACAAATTTCAATATTTACAATTTAAAATGAATTAATAATAAAATTACGTAAAAATGTAAACAAAAAAAAAAATAATAAATAAATAATAATCGCCACCATAAATTAACAATACAATAAAAATGATAATCAAAATCCACAAAGTCTTAAATATTAAAGAATATAATATTTTACGTTTTTCTATAGTTAACAATAATTATCAATATTTATCATGAAAAAAAAAATGAATTCCTTACATTTTCTAAGATAATGCCTGGTGTTATGATAAAAGAATCACTCTGTAAATATTTATTTGATAAAAGCTTAAAAAATATCTAGTAAAAATATTTGACCTGCTACGTTTAGTTGAAATACCTACATCAGTTTATTCATCAAGAGTATAACTACATAATTAAAAATTATACCACACCAAATATAACTGCATAACCATCATATATATGGTTTGCAAATATTCGATTTAGTGAGTTTTAATTTATAAAATATTTAAGGCCTCTGGATGCCAGGTACAAAATAATTGTATGGTATAGGTTACGTCTACTTTAATATTAATTACATTTAAATAACTTATTTTGTATGAAACAAGTATAAACTATACAGTGCACGTCAACTTTTATTTTACTTTTAAATCCATTAAGTGCATTGTGATGAATAATTTTGAAAAAAGATTTTATAGATTGTTTTAAACAAAATATTGTGTCTTATAAAAGTGAAAGGAAACTAATTTATTTTGTAAAATTCATATTATCTGTATAAGTTTATGAATAAATATATTGTTAGAAAAGTAGAATTTTTTCATTTAGACAAGAGGAATAAAAAAAAAAAAATACAAAGGTTAACGTGTATTGTATGAAATGCAATCATTGTCAAAAATATATACTTTGTGCAGATTTTTATTACTAAATATACTCAATTTTCCAGCCAAATTAGGTTAATTGAACCAGGAACTTATTGACAAGATAAATATTTATGTGTAGAAACCAAAATATGTTACAAATTTTTAACCCTCTTATTATGTGCATGCTCAGTAAAACTTTATCTTTTTTATTAATTCTATGCTAGGATATGCTTTAGAATCAAAATTGATTAAACGCAATAGCTATTTAAAATTTCATCATAAATATTTATTTTATACTAATTAAAATTATATCAGTTTGTTTCTTGATATTTTTAGCTAATATTTTTTTGTTAGGAAATTGTCTACTTAATAACTTAATCTTTTTAGTATTTCAAAAACATCTCTACTTAATTCAATGTAATATGGTCAAAAAATTGAGTAGTATATCGTTTAAATTTATTAAAAAGTATGATTCATCAAGCTTTATTTAGATTTTTAAAAGTAGAGTATGCTTATAACTTTGAGTTTATATTTTCAAATACTTAGGATTTTTTATATCATTTAGAGAGTGCCTATGGCGATAGTTTTTTTTTTTTTTAAGAAAATAAATTTAAACTTGAACAAATAGTATCCAAGTTATAAAACCTTAAGTTTTAATGATAAAAGGTTAAAAAATGGACATATCTTGTAAATAACAATATATAACAATATATAATAATTACAAAGTTATAATCATTATTTAAAAATTGATAATTCAGTAAGTATTTGTTTGAATTCTTAAAAATTATGCGCTTAAAAATGTATAAAAAATATAAATATTTGAAAATATAATCCTCAAGCATACTTAAAAATTCCAAGTCATAATACTTATAATAATAATAAATGCATTATTAAAGGTTACGTTGAGCATGCTTAGTAAATTACTCTATTTAATATTTAAATTCTTAAAATTAACTCAGGTTAAAAAGGATTAAGGAACCAGCATAATGATGGAAAGTAAATACAACTGTCACAGACAAAAACTTGTCACAAATTTAAATATAACATTATCTAAGAATTAACTCTTTAAAATTACTTTTAATACATACTTAAGACTAAATAAATAAAAAATTACTTAGCACATCCTCAATAATAAAAATATGTTTAAAAATTAATTCAAACACATAAAAGTCTGTAGATTTCTTAACAGGGTACCACACTTGTGTGTTGTCTAAGTCTTATAATTATACATCATAAAAAATTTGCCATCAGCAAACCCAACTGTATTTAATATTTATGGTGTCAGTAAGTTGGTTTTCTAAAATGTTTTAAATTATGAAAATTACTATATTATAATACGAGTATTTTACCACTTATTCATTCTGTTAATAAAAGTTATAAATACAAAATTGGTTTTGCTGAAGGCGTTTTTTTATACGTTTATATGTTTAAGAAGACTATACAGCAGAATTGAGTCTCTTTTATGACTTTAACTAATATAACATATAACTTTATAAATTAATGAGCTTATCATATCCGCCGCTGTTTAAAATAATATTATAACAATAATTTTTAAGTGTTATTACTATTTATAATTATTTTATAGTTTTGAAGTAGAATGAAAAAACTATCAAATAAATACTTTTTTACACTTTTAATAATATTAAACAAAATTAAATTACTAAATAAATACTATGTCTAGAATCTTTCAACACATTTTTATTCCCTTGTTTAAAAATTATTCTACCAAAAAATTAATATCCATTGGTTATAATTATTAATATCTAAAATCAATATATTAGCTAATTAGTTTAATAAAAAAAAAAATAATAATTCCATAAGATAGTATATATATCAATAATATAAATATAAAGTTTTATTAATCTAAAAAAAAATGTTTTTAATGATTTCAGGCTTATTTATTTAGTTTTAATGTAGATAAATTGTTTAAAAGATCTTGAATTTCGGTGCTAACCCTTTCACCTGAATCTGATATTTGTAATCTAGTTTGGAAGGCGTTCAATAGTTCTGCTTCATCTGAGCTATTTTTTTTATCAAAATATGCCAATAGCATTTCAATTACCTGTAGCACTGTTTGTTTAACTGATGTACAAACGTCACTTTTACAATGAGTCAACAGACGCAATTTTGATTGAGCCAAATGTAGAGGACTTCGGCCTTGGGCATCACAGCTACTTACATCTGTTCCTGACCACACGAAAAATAAAAATAAAATATTAAAACATTCTTTAATTTTTAACTTTACATTTGTTTATATATTGTTCAATTATCACTTGCTTATTTGCCAAGTGTCGGTCTTAAGGGATAATGGATAATTCCCACCCATAATATAATGATGAGCATGTTGCTTTATTATTTTTTTTTTTTTTTTTGATTTCAATGAGATTATCTCATGAAGTTACTCAATTAACATGAAAAACTTTCCTGTGATAAATTGTTAAGCTAAATATATTACAATTAAACATTTTATGAATTTTGATATAAATATCTTAATATCTTTGTTTTATATTTTATGAAAAACTTAATCAAATTATTTATCTAAAAAAGCATAATTAGTTATTTATTGTATAAGATTGTATTCAAAACAAAATTTTTACTTGTTTTCAAAATCCATTTCATGTAATTAGATTGATTATTATGTTCGAAATAAAATTAATGTTTTTAGCATGAAAATTAGTCTGTTAGAAATCCCTTTGAGTGTTATTTAAAAAAATATCCTATTAACTGTTGGTTAAGTTAGATTAACTGTTCTATGTTTCAAGTGGTAATTGACCAAATACATTTATACTTACCTCCTTTTAAGAGTAATGTTACTACATCCATATGATGTGTACAGGCAGCCAAATGTAATGGAGTGTTTCCCAAAGCATCTTTTATATTTGGATTGGCACCGTATTTCAATAACAATCTAAATAACGAGTATTCAGCATGAATTTTAAATCAACACTTTTTAAAATACTGATACTAATGCAAGACATATATTTACCCCACAGCTTCTGCATATCCTTTACTTGCTGCCAAATGTAAGGGTGTACGTTTTCTACTATCCCAACAATTTGGATCAACACCATTCTTGAGAAATTGCTCCAGTAGTTCAGTGTTATTCATGTTTGCCGCTCGACAAAGTTTGTGACTGTCTATAATCATTGAATTACATAAATTAGCTGTACTAATAATAACCTAGCTGTACTAATAATAACCACTGAATAAATACCTCTGGACTGAAAAGCATTTGATCTCATATAACTACGACATGAATGAGCACGGCACGGGCCAATATTGCTTTTGGATTGAGTATAACTGCCTTTCTTCTCCATTTTCAACAACATTTCTGTGTATTCTTGTATGGGAGTTAGACACTGGATGAGAAAATAATTCAAAAATTAATAATCACCGACTTGTAAATGACATTTTGAGATGTCTGGGAGGGAGGCGATACTCACGGATTGAAATCTATCCAACGTGCCCGGAAACGTGGGGTTGGCCAACTCGAATAGGCACTTGAACTTACGACCTGGAATCTCGTTGATCATAGGTCGAGCAAACACGATTGGGGGTTCAGATATAGAATTCAGGCACAACGACAACGGAAAATCGTGGTTCTTCATCCTCTGCACAGGCACTAGAGACATCTCGGCGGATGACACAAGTCTCTTGTTGAACTTCGGTTGCGCACAATCGTCGTTGTCCGTGCTGCTTTCCACGCCAGAATCGTTAGACGTCATGTCTTCGAATTCACAGTCTGGATTACTTTTCCCAGCTAACATAGCGGACAGCCGAATACATATTCTTAGACATGGATTTGATAATTTTACACTATTGAACACAATACTGTAAAATAACTGAATCGTACACAGAAGCAGATTGCGATATGCGTATAGGTATTAAAATAAAATGTGTACGGAACTGATTCCAACTCTGACATTACTATTTGGTATTATGGTTATTATTGTTTTTATCGTGTTATCAGTCTTAGTCCGTTGACGTTCTGTTTTTGTAAATTCGTGACCTCACGGATCAAACAGCTGATCTTCAATCTTCATATTTTACCAGTTCAGGCTTTCTTATTGATATTAATTATTAAGCAACTCTAACAGTAATAATGTAATATTGTATTATTATCTTCTTAAGAATTAACATCAGATTTGTATAATTTACATAACTACTTATGGTTTAAAGATTTGTAAATACGCAATATAACTTATAATAATTATGATACTACTGTTGTAACCATGATTGCAGATCTGTAACTACTGTGGCTGAAAAAAAGAATAATATCAAGTACTGTAAATCTACAGTTAAATCGATTAATTTTCATAAAATCAAAACAACGACTAACCACAATGTTTACAACATGTTTTTCATATCTTTCCCGTTTAAATTAAATCTGATGTTAAGTTAAAACCGAGTTAAAAGGCTAATAGATAGACTTACATATTATTCCAAATTTTTAATATAATCGATATATAATGGAATCTCAACTTTCACTCATAAATTGTAATTCAATACTAAATAGTATCTTTATTTTATTAGTTGATAAATTCTGTTGTCTTATTGAAGTTTTGAATAAACTAATTACTAAAAGAATAAAGTAATTGCAATAATAGTACATTTGAACAATTAATATGCAGATGTTGTTCCTTTGGTTAACTATTAAAATAGTACATTTATTATATACCAATTATTTCAAGATGCTTTTTTTACACAGTTAGTAATATAAGTATTTGGTACTAAGTATTATTTAACCATTCAACTATTAACATTACATTTTTTAATCACAAATTTATGAATATTATGTCTGTAATATACTTAATATGTATATATTTATAACAATATTTTTTATCTATACACATGTGAAATTTAGCTTATGATAGTTTTTATTTATATTCGTGAGCATTTACTACTATAAATTAAACTAAAATATGAATGTAAAGGTAAACAAAAAATAGAATTAAAAAATCATGATAAATTATACACATAGTGCATGGCATATAAATTAAATTATTATATACTCAATTTTAAAATTATCTTAATTCATTTAATACATATATATTATAAGTAACAATTATGGAATATTAATTTATATGTGCTGATTAATTAGTTGTCGAATAGCTGGTATCCAAGTGTTGCATTGACGTGTGTGGTCAACCATTAATGCCATTTGTAGTCTATTTGCTTCAGCATAATCATTGATTTTTATTGCTGTAAAAATGAAATACAATTTTAGACTGTGATTAATGAATTATAAATATTTACGCAGATATATTTTAACCTTTGACTAATGCGATAGTTTTTTGTTGTACTATGTCTGTAAATTGAATATCTTTCCAACTGACTTCCAATCTTGACAACCGTTTACTAATATCCACTTTCTTGGACTAAATTTATTAAATTAAATTATATTTATATAATTTATATTAATTAATAATTATCATATTTGGCTACTTACATCTGGTAATGTTGATTTTTGTATCGAATCACTCAGAGATGACATCACATAAGATAAACGATCTTCTACAGGAATGTCACATATCGATGACGAAATTACAGGGATTGTCGTAGTATCATTGCAATTTTCATTGGAAACTATCTCATTATTCAAAGGTATTTGTTTATTTTCTAAATTGAATTGTTCGCTAGGAGCATTTGGTAAGACTCGTGCAGGTATTCTATCAAATATTTTAGGTCGATTTTCATGTTGAGCACTCACAGTGTCTTCAAATGAATATGAAGGTGGGTCATTCCATCCAGGTGTATAAGCTAAATAAATTTAGAGTATTAACATTAAAATAAGTATAAATCTACTTAGAACTAATAAAATTAATTTAATTAATAAATAAAACAGTGTATTGTAAAATAATAAATATTATGTTTCATACGCAGATAAAACAGTTGAACATGATAAAAAAATTGTAATTATAGAATATCTACATATTTCCTTATTTGAATTTTGTAACTTTTAAAATATATAATTATAAAAGTTAAAATATAGGTATTAGTTATGACTGAATAGTTTTATTTATCTTCTTTCAAGTATTTGTTAAATACAGAATGTCTAATAATTTATTTATTTATAAATGAACCATAGGTATTTTAATTTTATTCTTTGTCATTTGTTTGGCTTACTATTGGTTTAAATGAAAATGCTTCATCATGTATCAGGCTGAAAAATGTAATGAATAATAAATTAATAACTACTAAAATTTAAAAACACCAATTCAATTTTGTCTTAAAATATCATAGATAATCCAAAATATTTTTTGAAAAGACGTTTAACTATTTACTCGAAATATGGTTCATTTATAAAAGATAAATGGTACCTAGTACATACTATGTTGGTTATTTTACAAGTAAAACAAAAAAACTTACATTTATATCCTTCGCTCATTGTACAAAAATATAATTTATAGAAAAAATAAAAACAACTTCAACAATCAATGTTTACGTATAATAACGATATATAAAATTATAATTAGTCAAACCCATTAATTATTAAGTGAAGATTATATTATTACAGAATATAATAATGATAAATAAATAAATATATTTTTTACATTTATAATTTATATTATGTTCAAAAATCGTACTTGTAAGTTACGAATTTTTAGTATAACCCAACAACGCACAATCAAGTACGAAGTATGTAATATATCACAAGGCACACACGCCACCGACTACTGACTACTGAGTACAGATTGTGAGTTGTGACGTGACTATAGAGCCATAGAGGCACGTGTAATATTTAAGTCGCGTAAGAAATATGAACACAATGCCAGTGGCCCAATATTGAATATACCAGTCAAAGTGGACAGTGAACTACTATGAGCAGAAAACTAATGATAACAGAATAGATATGAAGTTGGAAGACAAACTCAAACGACCGCTATTGCCCAAAACAAGTCGAGAAAAAGCACATGAATAAAATGGCCACTGGCTGCGCTGCAGTCTCATCCGTAGTTAGTAGTTAGTAGTTACTTTAACCTGTCTAAAATAGGAATTTATGGTGTTTAATTAAATGGTTTTTTGAAATATGTAATATGCAATAATTTTAAACGTCCCTTGAATAAATTGTGTAAGTTTTTTAATTACAGATTCATGCATATGTATATGTGTACTTTTTAATGATTATTAAATTAAATGTATCATTGTAATGAATAATAAATCATTAAACTACTAAATCAAATTAAAATAATAATTCTATTAAATTACTTTATAATAAAATTATATTCTGTTATAAAATGTTTAATTGATAGTTTGTGATTATAACAACAGTAAATACTTTCATGTATAATATAAAATAAATACCTAGGTGATTGTTAACAATTATAAACCGTCATTAAAATCAAATTGTAAATATATGCATATCTATGAAGACTTAATTGTAAAAATCTCCTTTGTTGAATGTTTTTGGTAGTAAATAGTTGGTACTTTTACATTTTGGTAGGTCAAAATTTGAAATCCTCATTACTTTTTAAAATTATAGGTAGTAAAAAACAGATACCATCATTTATTATAATTATAGTAAAATTATTAACATATTTGTTTACCAAACAAAGTTGATAACTTTTGTTGCCAAAAAGTTTGACAGTCTTCAATTTTTTTTTACAAATATCAATAAAAATATTGCTAGGTCGAAAACCTTAAAAATTAAAAATAGGTTCTTTATAAGTTGTTGATACTAGAATAGAAAACAAAATGGTGTATTTATTATTGTACTTTTACACACATAGATTGACAACTTAAATGAAAATTAATTTAAACATCAATTTAATTGTAAAGCATATGATCAATACTCATGATTTGATATTGTACCTATTAATCAAAAATATGGTTGATATGTAATTTAAAATTTTTATAATATAAATAAGTATAAAGAATATATTATAAGGACAGTTTGTAATAATTTAGTTTCAATGTTTTATAATTTTTATTGCAGTCTAATATGCATAAGAGTGAATGACTTAAACTATTAATGACCACAATATAATGAATAGCCCCACAGGCATATTTTAAAAAGAAAGAAAATTCTATGAATTTGAATTTATTTTAACAGTTTTTTTTTTAGATATTAGCCATTAAGCAAAAGTTTAATAATTAAATATTTTTACTATAATATATAATATATTAAAAAGTGTTAAATAAATTTTTTTATTGAGTGTAATAGTTATTAGTTATATGACACGGTCAACAATTTTTATAATAGAATTTTATTAATTTATTTGAGTTGGTTTAACTTAAATTAAATCTCCTATGATTATTAGGCTTAGTCACTTATTAAATTATTACAAAGTATGCGATCATAATTAATTAGATCTAATGTAGTTATAGAATAGAAAAAAATTTGTTCTCAAAAATAATCTTAACACAAGCAGTAAAGTGTTTGACATTTAGAAAATTGCTAAAAAAATTAGATATTATCTAAAGTAATTGTTTATTTATTTATAATTAAAAAAATTTAATTTTATTATAATTCTAAATCAATAAAATTATTTATTTATTTTAACATGTTTAAAAAGCATTGCATCATTTTGAATTTTTAAAGGAAAACAACCTTATTATGGCGATAAATGTTAATATATGAAATGAGACTTTTTGAGTAAATAAAAATTGAAACATTTCATTAATATTGAAAATCATTATTTATTTAAAATTAAATAAATCGGATACTACTAGAAAAAGAAACTAAATAGATTTAATTTTTTTTTGAATTTTCCCTCATTGACATTAAAAGTTCAGCTTGCTCAGGAAAAATGGGTACTGGAGTTCTAGTAACAAATTTTGTATGAGGTAATCGATCAGCAAGTTTTGTACTCCAATGATGAAGATTACATTCTACTGGTACTTTTTCTTTCTTATTTATCTGTAAAGAAAAAATAGTGAAATATATTTCTTATTTAGAGACAATAATATTAATAATAGAAAACTAAGCATAACTCACAGTAATATACACAACAAAAGATTTTCCTTCTAAGGTAAGATCAGGTCCACTGATTGGCTGTTCTGGCAATTCTATTGAATCATCACTTAATACATGTACATTCATTTTGCGAAGTGATACTCTTATGTGCCAAGGTTCAATTGTCCAAGGCTCATCTTTATTCATGCTTACGCTAACAACCATTTTTTTTAAATACTTCATTGTCTAAAAAATATAAATTGTATCTTTTTCTTTAAGTTTTATTTAGATTAATAAAATAAGGATAAAATGTATAATACTTGAAGAGCATGAATAGAACTAGGTTTTTCTTCATCTTTAGTTTGATATAAATTGTTTTTCATACGTTCCAAATTATCAGGAGAAGCATATATAGCTAATTTTGGCAAAAGCAATTGATCATATGCATATGTTGGTCGAACAGATACCAGTTCACCTTGATGCCCTAATCCTAAATTAATAAGAAAAGATCATTTTATCAAATTGCATAATATTATAATATTAATATAATTTTTAGTACATGGTTGCTAGAAAATAAAATTGTGCATACCTTCAACATATTGAGTTAATATTACATCCATCTTTTGTTGTTTCATTTTTTCTGGATTTTCTTCAACATCATAGATATAATGCCTTCCTTTCAAAATTGGTTTTTGTTTAGAGTTTTTTTTTTGCAACTGAACTGGATGGCGTCGTTTAAGTATAATTAAAGTCTAGTAAAAGTATAAATAATTAATATTTATTATGTATAAATAATGTATAAATAATGTATAAAACAAACAGAAATCTTTATAAATTTTTTTTTATCAAAATAATATATTAAGTACTAAATAAAATAATAAATGTAATGAATGAAAAAAATAATAAAGATCTTACCCTATTAAATTGTTGAATTGGGCTCTGCACCAAAAGCAATTTAGAAAAATTCCTGAGAACTCCATCCATGATGTGTTCTATATTGTGTAATAAAAATCCAAAAAATTTGAAACTTTTAAATAAAGAAAATACAATACAATTCGGGTAATTTGTACATTCGTTAATTCTAAATCCCAAAACTGTGATAGAGGTATTTACTATTTTCCCGGAGTTAGAGAATTCGAGCACCACAGTCTACAGTCTGCAAAGCTGCACGGCAAATTGTTATCACTTATCAATAAAATACAACTACCAGTGATAAGCACTTTTACGAAAATGATAAGGATTCGATAAATGATTGGTGTTCTCCAGTCTCCACCAATATTTTCTTAAAAAGTTAGACTCTCTAGTAAAACTAAGTAGTTATGTAGTATAAATATAAAAAATTTAGGCATATTAGGCACATTCTAGAATTATGTAAATTGTAAAAAAAACTTGAAAATAATCAATACAAGGGGTTTCTCATAGTTTCTCACAGTTATTAAAATACTGAAAGTATCTTATATATACCTAATCATATAAAGTCAACATTTTTATAAATGTGCGTTGGCCTTATTTAATAATAATACATCAAATAAATCGCAAACTACGATCGGATTTCGACGTCGAACAAAATACTCTGTATGACTATATAGTATAATATATGTTAATATATTTTTATGATAAATGTACGTTTAATACTTTTAGAACAAAATACGTTATTATTATTATATATTATACATTTCAACACTAAACATATTATAGTAGCCAATAGTAACAATAAAATATGTTAGTTTTTGTATCGAAAATACATTTTAATTCAAATATTAAAAAGTAATAGTTCAAATAAGTTAAAAACAAGCTAGAAAATCTCACTCTCAGAGCGTTCTAAATTTCCGGTTTGTGAACGTATTTTAATAAAATAAAATAAACTATAGATAATTTAAAAATAATTTATAAATAACCTTATATATTTTGATATCTATTTTTTTTAAATATTGGCTAGTTTAAATTTATAATAAATATTCTTACTTTAATTAAACATTGTTTAAGAATACTTTTTTATTACAAAAAATACAAAGATACAAACAGCTGCTGTTATTCAACTCCGCAACTGGTTAATTTTTAAACTCTATAGAAACGTTTTTAAACCAGGCGTCCATATAATGTGCCCAATGCCCATTATAAATAATATAGTATAATACTAGTAGGTATACTACTTACATATTATTATTAAACTGGTATGTATGATATAACTGAACGATTCTTATGTGATGAACACTGTTTTAGAGTCGATATTCATGTCGACTATTTTCGTCATATAAATCTTGTACGATAACACTACATTCCACAAATTTTGTGGAAAAACATGCATCCGATACTGATCAACAGTGCTCTGCGATCCGCACGACAGCCAAATGCATCAAATATGTGCCATGAGCTTCGTTGCGGTAATCGGTATTGATCTATTTAAAAATAAAGGCACAAACATAGGTGGTTGTATTTTGCATTATAAATCACTCTCACGCGAAACCTTAGATAGTTAGATCTTTCTTTCACCCTTTTTATATCATTATAAGCCAATATAATATACCCTTGGGAACAAAACTTCCATCCAATAGGAATGACCCAATACATTTATCGCGCTTAGAGAGTCATCGTTGCTATGGTTTTGTTGAAAAAAATTGCTTG